TTCCCATGCTCCTCACGGTTTGTTGCAATAATAGACAAATGTATAGTTAGTATGGTAGCATTAAGGGTCTTTCTCTTCATCTCATCTCAATGCTGTCTTATTTGAAAATGGGTCATTGATAAAGTCAGCAATTTATACCAGTGAGTCAATCTTGATATGAAAAAAACTTGATCAATTGGAAAGAATCTACTGTTGTATTGTACAGTATACTATAGTCTATCGGGATGAGTATCGGGAAAATACTGGTGGCAGTATACAATAAGGAAAAAATTATAACTTCATCTACCAAACCTTTGATGTGCTTTGGTCCAAGCATGAATAGAATTAGAAGAGTACTCTAGTATTATCTTGTTGTTGCTATGGTTACTAGCACCTGCAACTGTTATCTTGTTGGAAATTAATTGATCATTTACATTATGTAAAGGTTAGATTCCTCCTGGTCACCCCTTACATTACATCCTTCAACAGTTCAATGTTACCTATAATCATTATTTATTTTTAATAATTTTTTTCTAGTAAACTATTAAAACAGAGGACTGACACAGAGTAATATTTTTTATGTTGCCTTAACGGGAGTTTTATCTTCTGTGCCCTTCCCATCTTTACTAGAAGCTCCTATGGCAAGGCTGAAAATACTTGTAAGCATACATCTGAAAGTATTTTATCCAGATAATTGATTTCATAGTTTAGGTGGGGCTTATAAAAATGCCCCTATAAGCTTAGCCTACAGGTGGAAGACTTAATGGGGAGGAGGAGGGATAAAGTAATCTACTTACCGACCAAATCTTTGTAAGTCGCTCACTTTACGAACATAAACAGCGGAGCTCCGATAATCGTATTGCAGTTTGTAGATGACGCTAAATTACCTGACCTACTTTCCTCGTTTGTGATTGGCTGGAAGTTAGCGCGGTCTTTTTGAAAGTTGGTACAAGGCACAGAATACTCCCTAATTAAAACTTAATGTAAATAAATACATTATATATAAATATAATGTTTATTTATTTTTAATAAATTTTTTCTAGTAAACTATTAAAACAGAGGACTGACACAGAGTAATATTTTTTATGTTGCCTTAACGGGAGTTTTATCTTCTGTGCCCTTCCCATCTTTACTAGAAGCTCCTATGGCAAGGCTGAAAATACTTGTAAGCATACATCTGAAAGTATTTTATCCAGATAATTGATTTCATAGTTTAGGTGGGGCTTATAAAAATGCCACAAAAACATTCTAATTATACTACAATGTTGCCCCACCAAAAAATTTTTACATTAACCATGCGTTTGAGGTAACAGATCTATTTTGTTAATGATACAAAAGACATAAACATTTATTATAGAAATATCACTTATATATATTTTGAGATCATCTTTTATAAAATACTAATATTTGCTCAACCCCTTCCCAAGGGAACACTTCTCATTTGACATTGTCTCCTAAATTGGCTCCTAAAGGCATATTGAACATGTTTTATACAGGTTTAATGTCAAATTTTCAATCGAAAATTCATCTTTACTTGTTATTATAAAGTAACAGTGACTTTGAAGTTACAATTATTTTGATATTCAAGTTATATTAAAGTCTACTAGTTATAATGATAGCAAAATAAACATACTTTATGTCAAAAACCATTCCTTAAAATTATCTTATATTATCTTAAGATTGACATATGCATTACAGAAAGCACAATTTAAATGATAAGTTTTTACTGTGTTATCCTTGTAGTTTATTTTAGATCACCTACTAAGAGCCATTACCTTGGATTACAACTCCTATTACATTCTAACCCTGCAATTGAAGCCAGTATTACGATCTTGAGATTATGTCTAAAAATGGCTATTTTCAATAGGCTAGGTTTCATGAAGAATATCTAGTGAGATCATGAGTTTTTATGTTTCAGTATTTTTATCACACTGAATGCAAGGTGTTTCTTGTTTTCTGGTTTTGTGTCTATAAAATGGCTACTGTGAATTGCTTTAATTTGATGCTGTTTAATTTGACTGATTAGGCAAATTTTGAAATTTTGGGACATATGCGGGTTTCATCACGGTTGGAAAAGGGTATGTACTAGACAGGGGTATTATAAAAAACCTACATAAAAACACTAATATATGAACATATATCTATACCAAGCACATACATTTCTTTTTCCTTAAAATTAAGCCTTGTGGAAAGATTTTCAACATGTGTAGATATGATTGCAATATTAGTATATTAGTCCCAAGTTTGATTCTGCAAACTTCTACTTTTTCTATCTAATATTAAGACTAGAGCTTCTGGCTTTCGGGTGAAAGTATTTAAAGAAGAATGGAATGTATTCCCACTAGCATTTAAAACTTACATCTATCAACATTTACTGTAGAAGTTGATATATTTTATCTTTTAAACATTTTGATGATTTGTATTTCCTTCGTAATGCAGCGTGAAGCTATGAATTGAAAGTCTCAGGCCAGAACTGTTTCCAATTACTATAATATTGATACAGATTTTATTGAAAAGTTCACATCTATTTTCATGAATGATATTATATTATATCTTAATAACCCAGATGCGAGTAGAAATAATCTTGATTTACGTCATTAAAAATTCAAAATTCAGTCAAAGTAATATCATATTTGAAATCTACATGTAAAATTATATCTAAAAATGTGGTTTTAAAAAGTGTTTATCAACTTTGAAAAATTAATTTTCTTTGAAAATGTGATTTCTAGCTCGGGGAGATTCTCCATAGACCCCATGCTATAAAACCACAAAAAATGAAATATATTTTCTTTTAGTGGACAGATGATATTTTGCTTTACTGGACGTATTTTTATTAGTATAAGTATCAGACACATAAGGGTTATATGAAAATTGAGCCACTTAAATTGATAATATTCAAGTTTAAGGGAACTTTCTTATATACCTGCCATGTTAATTGACCCGTATCAGCCACCTGGTGGTGAAACTGGTAACTACTTACTCGCATTTGGGTAATTGGATCAATGTAATATTGTTATTCAATAGTCCCATCTTCCCCACTTTCCAGTATGCTCTTATAAGTTCTGATATTGTTGAAACCAGCAGAGGAATTCAGAATCTGTTATTCGATTGAAGGTTTACTTGATGTATATTGTTCTATGAATATTTGTATTCAGAGGGTGGAGCTCTTAGTAGATTACTCTTCAAAGAGACTTAAGCAGCCTAATTTCAATCAATAATTAAGTTAGAATAATTTGCTTTTGAACTTGAACTGTACTTCTTATCAGAATGACCCTTCCTGTGAATGTTTTCATGATCAGAATGAAACATCCCTCATGTCATACTTTTTGGATTTTGAGACTTTGAATGAAAATCTCACATCTCTCGTCCCAGTTTCATGTACATTAAATCAGTAAATCCTGCAAATGAAAAGGTTCACAAGAAATTGAGCAAAAATTTATCAAAGTTCAAGATCCTGCAACTCGGTGGGCCCAGGCTAATTTCAAAATGGAAAACTGTTAGGAGTGCCTCTCATGTAGACTTGTCACAGCATCCTTGCTTTTTCTATTTTGTTTCTATTTTGATAAGATTTTGTAATAAAAACAAATAAAAAAGATACTAGTGGCTAGACTACCTCACATGGAGTTGTATATAAAAACCATCAGTCATTTACTCATCATTTTTTATGTGACCATGTGACCCATATTCGAAATTAGCATTCAGCATCTTTAACTTATAATTTTCCACAGAATAATAAGAACTTATAATATTCACAGTAATATTCAGATTGACTACATATTTATACTATGTGAACAGTTTTAGTCATGTTATAAATTTGAACAGATTTTTTGGCAAAATCTGTATGGCAATGAAATCAGGGACTTTAAAAACAATTTTATAACATAGCATTAAATCAAGGAGTTATGATGAGCTATAACTGACGAAGTCAAGGTTAGATTCACTTTAAAGTTATACAATAATTGCCTTTTCTGTTCATATTTTGGGCAATATCTGTTACCATAGCAACGGATTGTGATACTTAAAACACTTCTAATACTTATGACTTCATAGGAATGACTTGAAATATCATGGTCAGATTGACTTAAGATTCATGCGGTGATCACCTATAGGTGTGTTGTAGACATCTTGAGACTTTGGGCAATATTGGTTACCATGGCAATGGGTTAATGAACTTCCATCAGCTCCAAATCTTATCTCTTCATGAATGAAAAGATTTTGATCTGAGTTTGAATAATATCAGAAGTTTTATTAAATTCTAATTGGGGAACATGTCTATTTTCGTTCTTTTCTATCCATATTATTCTCAAAATCTTATTGTTAAACAATAATCAAGATTATGGGCAGATTATTATTTTTTCATTAAAATCCCTTTTATCTACTCCATATAAACTGGCTTGAGTGAATATCTTGTTAGAATACTCTTGAAGAATATGACCTCTGTGGGAATTAATATTGATTGGTCGATGCTAATGCGATGTCCTCTGTCTGATGTTATATTGAAGTGAGAAGTTCGCAAGTTGAGATAAATGACATTGTGATGTCACAATGAACTATTAGAATCATTGCCAGGATCTCTAAATCGGAGAATAGATTTACTTTTATGGAAACTGTAAAACGTTACTTCCTACAATTAGCTCTATGCATTTCCTGAACATTCATGGCAATTATTCCAGATTATTGATGACAATTATATAAATTCACTGAGGATCTGTCTGCCTGGTAATAGTTTTGTTAGTGTGTGTGTTAAAGTGTTTGCCTGTGACATATCTGATATGACTTTGCCAATGTAATGTAATGTATTTGTGTGATATCACGTTTGTCAGTTAGAACTCCATATTTATCTGCACATGTACTGTACTTGGATTTAGATTGAGAATAGCCATCATCAATTCTTGTAAATGTCAATATGTCATTTTTACCATGAGGAAATGAAATACAGGTGGTGGAATCACTTGTACGTTATCCCTTGTTTGTATCGTTATTTTCATTGAATTCATCTTTACCTTATAATTGTTTTTCAGTTCCATCAAAGCCAACTGAGCTGACTCTTGAGTTGACACAGACTGACCCCCCTGTTGTGAGCGTCATGTGGGAGAGTCCAGAGAAACCCTATGGGGTCATTAACAATTACAAAGTAGAATACAGACGCAAAGATGACATACATGATTCGAAAGATGAAGAACTGATTGGTGAAAGATTCCAGTTTGAAACAGATTTTCTTGGTAAGTATATAATTAGAAATTAACATGTATTCCATTAAATACAATCAAATATATCTATCCAAATCTGAACCAAAATTCTAAATAGTGAGGGTATATTGAAGGCACAGGCACCTCTGAGAGTATTGAACTTCAGCTGAAGTGATTAATTAATTGATTAATTATATTAATTAATCATTATGAAATAAATCACTTTTGAATCGACCATGATTTAGATATTAATCATTTTATAATCTTCAATTTTTCATGTCGTCAGTTTGAGAAGTCAGGCAGAATAATTTTCTGTGAGATGTTCAGGTTGGAGTTATTCCTCAAGTCTGATATCCTCTATAATTGTTTTAAAGGAATGCTATGAACAAATATCTTGTTGCTGGTATAGTTTGCAACTCAGTTGTTAATATTTGGATTATTAGAAATGTATATCTTAAGGTTTGAATTAATTGCTAAAATGATTAAAGATGGATATTTATCTTTTCATTTAAAATGGTGGATATCTATATTAAAATATAATTATTGTCGTGATCATTTTTTTTTCTGTTAAAATCATAAGACACTGCAGGAATATTGCTGGTTTGATGACATACAGTAATGGTATATGGATGTCCCTGTCAAAAGTGTTGGGACTCCAAGGCATGCCATGCCCCCTCCCTGTTACCTCTCTCAAATCAAATCAAAAATATGGGTTAATATCCTGGTGCAAAGGATTGAATATTCTTCAACAAAATAATTTTAGATTAATCAGAGGTGGATATTTTGTCTACCTCCTGAAGCCTTCATGTCATTTATAGATAAGTATGATCAATCCTGCAGGTCTGTAATCAGTAATAGGTAACCTCACTTATATAGGTTATCCTTCTACTTCAGTTTCACTACATAAATTGTTTTGAGTACTGAACTTTTATAGAATTAATTGTTGGGGCAATTTACAAAGTGTGTTCTTGCTGCATTTGCAGTTTCTTCACCAGGCTAACTGAGATTTTAATGATTGTCAAAATTCTGAACTTGCAGTCGAAATGTTGAGGCATGCGCAGACCTCTATTTAGTGATATTTTCATTTCAAATATGGCGGCCAATCCGATGTCTGACGACCCTTACAAAGAATCTAGGCAGTTTGCATTTTTACCTCCTGTGAAATAACAAGTGGAATTTAGTAGTTGTTTTGTGTTTTATTATCATTCTACATCGTAATTCTATGTGATGTGGTGTTGAAATGTCAGCAGAAATACATATCCATACGATAATCGAGTGAATCAGATAACAGATTTTTCGAAAACCCGTCTCGTGCTAAGAGTGTAAAAACTTGTATTAACATGCTCAAAGGTGCCAATGTGTACATCAATGTCAAGCTAAATCAATGTTGTGTCTAAAACAGGTACCCGATCTACTCAAAACAGCTTGTCATTCACGTATACACGCTTAGCAAACACGGCGAAATGACCTGAATCTTGGAATTTCGTTCAAGAGCTAGTAATGTTTGCTCCGGTCTTCGTCATAAGTGTTCATCAGACTTCACGCATGCGCAGGAGAAAAACCATCAACCAATAAGGTTTATAAATCAATTTTGCGCATGCGCCTTACAACGGTAAACAAATTCGTATTTATAAACGAACCAGTTTGAGATAACCCGATATCAGTCGGAGAAATCTGACGATCTACGAAACTCACTTCAAAAAATCAAATGCGGACTGACGGCGTATTCTACTATGTTTGGATCTAAGATTTTCAGTATAGATAAAGTCTTTTATGATCTTTCGAATGAGGTAAGTCTCTAGTTCGACAGACAATCGTATCAACTTGAACAAAAGTTGAGTTTTGACGAAAAATTTTAACATGCGCAGAAGTCCCATTTTCGTTGTACCATATTGACTGCTTGGTGCAAATTTGAAAAGAGTTAATATTCCATTTCTCAACTGAATACAAAGTCTGCTTGCTTCAAAAATGGGTAAAGCTACTTCAAGGCTATGCCATTCATGGGAGTATTTTGAAAAATATACAAATTTGCAAATACAGAGCTTATAATTCCTATTTTATTAACTGAGAGGCTCGAAGCATTTCCTTTACTCATATAAGATTTCTATGGATTTGTAATTTAGGATATACAAAAATAGTTGCAGGAGGCTATCTGCGATTCTCACCTGTGAATTGCAGGGTTATGGAGATTAACCTGAGAGCGCACCTGTATTTTGAGGAGATGTTTTCCTGCTCTTATCTGTCATAGTATCAAATGTTGCAGGCTTAATTAATTTGAGCTTACAGATCAGGGATATGGAATACCACATGTGAGAGGGCCTTTGCCAGGTTTTCTCTTATCATATTGGATAAAGGCTAGGGGGTGGGGGCATGTTCTTAATGCGAACTAGAGTGAAATACAGAGAAATTACTCAAGATTTATAACCTGATCAAATATCCCACATCAGTATTATGCAAAAGTGTGAAAAACCAAAACTTTCCAGTGAGATTAACTAGGAGAAAAGACATGAATTAATCAAAACTGGGTGAAATATTGTGAGGGTTTCATCAGGATTTCATATCTCAGATAGTAGCATGGTGTTTTCTACATGCCACAGGTGTGTTAGTGGTTTAAACTTCAGAACAATATATTTATCAGTGGAATTCAAAGAAATGCTCTGGAAACAATCTTCTTCCGGTTTACTAGAAGATAAAATGAGTATCCTTTACAAGATCTGGACTTTGCCTATTGATTCATAATTAAAGGTATTAAGGTGATAATTGTGGACTGATGTCATTAATTCATTGGATAGAGGCAATAACTTATATTTAATAGGCTACATTTTTGAAAAGTTCCAAGTCATGTTTTGTGTTGTGTTGCTAATTTATGATTCATAAAGATTAGCTGAGTTACAATGTATATGCATTACAAAAGAATCTCCATTCACGAGGTTAATATACAGAATTTCCTGTTCAATCTATGACACGACACATCTCTGTACAATACATACATGTTATTTCAATCTATCTGTCAGATAGTTTGTTAGCACATAATGGCATCTTCATTCACTCGGCTCCCGTCAATGAATGATGAATGCAGTGAAGACCGGAGCGTGCGAAGATGACATAATGGTAAAATAGGTCAATTTCCTGACTTAAAAAGCCCATAGTTTTACCATGTAAAATGTTTTCTACTTGCAGATAAAGGCACAGAGTATGAGTTCCTTGTGTCTGCCAAGAATGGTGAGGCATATGGAGAAGCAGCAGTGGAGACTATCACCACACCTGATGGGAGTTAGTATATTTGAATATGTATGACACAATTACTCGTGTAACCCAACATTCAAGCCCCAAATTGAACAAAAAAATGAAAAGATTAATCAGATTTAACCATTATCCATTTGGGATGCTGCAGATGAAATATAAAAGAAATCACATTTAACACTAAAAGAAATGGGCCAAATTAAGTGCCTGATAATTCCTCTTTAATTGCCTCTCTATTACATACATGTATTGTTGTTTCAGTCCCAGCAGCTGCCCCCATGAACTTCACTATAACAGGAATAAGTTCAACCAGTGTCAACTTAGCGTGGGATCCCCCACCCAAGAAACAGCGTAATGGGGTCATAGTTCAGTATGAGATCTTGTATCATAAGTCCTCAGACTTTATCATGGAAACAGATGTTAACACTACTGACATGAGCACAGAAATTCAAGGACTTGAAATGGACACAGATTATACATTCAAAATTAAGGCCTATACAACCCAGGGCGCAGGCCCATGGTCTCATAAAGTACCCTTTACCACATTCGGACAGTGTAAGTTTTGCATGATTCCTCGCCCTATCGTGAATTTTGCTAATAAATCAATGTATGTTGCTTTTTTTATTATTAATGTTTTATGAATTCATTTAGTCAGTTGCGCCCATTCCTAGCTTTTTAGTTTGTTTGCTTTTGAGCATCATTAGCTGTCTGCAATAAAACACAAGAGATGGCTGGGTTCACCTAGTCACCACCAGGACTAACCACTAAACAACCATGCTGTGATTTCTATTTCAGTGCCACCTCCTCCCAAGAATATTGAAGTCAGGAGGACCAGTCCCACGAGTCTTGAGGTGAGCTGGGACCACCCTATCTTCCAAGTAGCTGGCTATAGGGTGTGGTACAATGGCCAGGCAGTACCAGACATAAACCAATGGAGTCACAGAGACATCGGACCTTTCAGAGTAACTGAAATCAGTGGTCTGGATAAAACCAAAGCTTATGCTGTTCGAATTCAGTCCAAATCGAATGATGGTCGCTATAGCAACCTATCAGAGATAGCAGTCGACAGTTTTATACCTCCAGGTGTGCCATCTATTTTTTCTTAGTGCTTTCTTTAACATATGAATATATAGTATTTGCAATTCATGCCATCATTATTGTTTATTTTGTTAAGAACATATGTAAATTAGGAATCACATAAATTCAATAATAACTAATTTATAACTGTAGCAACATCATGTATAGAATAGAATTCTTGATGCAGTGTCAGAGATCATTCCAGATTGATTCTGTTGTAGTACACAGGGAACAACACTTTAAAAATATTAGGAATGTGTGACAAGCTACCTGTTTTAATGATTGTGTCTGAGATTGAAATATTGAGCCCCATTATTTTTGTTTTTTTAAAGTTTTTGAACTCAACATGTAGATATGGAAGGGGGGATAAGTCAAAACAATCAAGAATATATCTAGCCTAGATAGAACCTCTAAACTGAGTTTGTTAAATGTGTTTTAGAACGACCTGATATGGTGACCAACTTTCATGTTGTCACTCAGGACAAGCAGAGTGTTATGCTTGAATGGGATCCACCTAAAAGACCTGGTGTACAAAGATATAAGGTGAGTTTCAACCTACAGTTAATGCTGTAAAAACTATGAATATAGTACAGTCATTTGTGGATAAATTGAAGATATGTGGTCTTACTTTCATTAAAACAGTGATTGATATGGTTAGAATGAAAAATAAAATTATTCTTGAAATGAATGTTTGTTTTATTTCAGATTGTGTATTATGGACGTGGCCAGGTTGATAATGATCTGGGAAATGAGTTGCCAAGGCGTACAAAGACAGTTACAAGGGACAATACTCGAGCTTATATAGAAAACCTAAACCCAAATTCAATCTACAACTTCAATATCAGTGCGAAATTTGAAAACAGCTGGGGACCAGCCTATCATACTGTGGTAGAAACAAACAAGGATGGTTGGTCTACTCTACTATTTCACTAGAGTGTTCTATATAGGTTGCCGTTTCACGCACCTAGTGTGCTAGCCTGCGGGTGTAGCAGCCCGACAGTATTCACATTGTTTATTCACCTCCCCTTTAGGGGGTATAGGCTCACCGAGTCTTATGTTTGCGCTGTGTGGAAGAATTTATGTACGTGTTGTGTGTCTGTTCCGTCCTGTTTGCTCAGTATGCATAGCCTGTATTTGTATTTTGTACTCTATATACACATACACATTATCTTAAATGTATAGATAAGTCGTAGGAATTATCACTATCATACACGCTTCCATTTATGGTCATCCCATTCGATATTGTTGTAGATAAAAATTGTTATTTTAATATTTTAAACACTAAGTTCTCATTCAGTTCTATTAGTTTTAGTTACCCTTACTCAGTGTAAAACCTAGCACCATATTTTCTAGGAGTTACAATGGAGAAGGGTTCATGTAGTATTCAGTTGACTTTTACATACAGCCCTAATTATCTTCTCATCCCCCTCCCACTATATCACCTCAAAAATAACTCTTTTGCAGAATAATGATCAGTTAAAATGGTTAAACCTGTAATAATGAGCGTTCCATCACTGTTTTAGCTCCTCCCGTGTTTCCTGCCCCTGTTCCCAAGGTGGCAAACCCTGATGATTCTGTGACAGTTCAATTGACTAAAGCCTCTGAAGAACATGGCAAATTAAGCCATTATCTAGTGGTTGTTGTTCCTGAACACATGGCAACAAAGGATACAAACCTTTACACTGAAGATGAGGTAAATGTCAATGAAAACAATGTAAACAAGAATAAACGTGTGATTTACCTTTACAAAGCAATATTTGTGTATTTGAATCAGTTGAATTAGGAAATACAGTTTTCTCATTTTGACAATTATTCAATTGTTAATGTTGTGTAAGCATAGCTTATTTGATATATCATTGGAAATATGACATATGTTAAGGCTGATCCTTATCATCATTTAAATGAAATGTCTCTTAATTTAAATAAGAAATACCAAAATGGAACTTGACCAATGTAATTGGTTTACAGTTGAGCCCACCAGAAGATGACGATCTGAACCCATTGATGAAGCCATATATCACTGCCTGGTTCTCACCCTCAGACCTCCCTGAAATGTTCAATGTAGGAGACCAAGAGATTTATGGGCGTTACGTCAACAGACCCCTCATCAAGGGACAAACTTACAAAATGTTTGTTAGGGCATTTTCAACACAAACGGTAAGGCTTGATAAAGGGAACTTTTGTACCTTTAATAAGCAATCAAGTCTCATTGAAAAAAGACTAAAAGGTTCAGATGTCTCCTTGTAATTTTGATATAGTTCAATGTCAGATTGCTGACTGAGTTAGAAAGTGACACCTTTAACAATCGGCATCATAAAATCAAATGGCCATTTACAGATATACGTCATAAATAAAATAATTATGGTTCTTGTAATCTTGTTACTATTGAAATCTCATTCGATTCAATTCGATTCATTCGAATCAAAATTCTTTATGCATACTTCGCTTAGTGACTATTTCAGTAAATTGAATTATTTGATACGACCCTAAAAGTCGACACTGTGATTTTGCATAGTTGTGTCATGTCATCTGAAGATTCTGTTTTGATTTCTAGGATCTGTATACATCTAGCAAGTTCTCTAAAAGCTTGAGGACAGACATGGTCGTCCAGACAATTACATCTGGCCCAATCTCCAAGAATGGCAACATTTGGCTCATCATCGGTGTCATCGGTGGTGTCCTATTCCTTGTCATTGTCTGCTCTATCATTGCAGTGATCTGTGTACAGAGGTAACTCATATTTATGTTTATAGTTAGTCTTGTATCCGTCCCTTGTGATCACCACCCTAACATAGTCTTGCATCAGATATTAACAATTGTTTCTGCTACAATATGATTTAAAGTCAATTTTTGTTTATCTACATGTGAGCTATTGGGTTATTGCACAAGTAGTATAACTGACTAGAGCATATGACTATTACAGTGCAATGATCAATGAATATAACATACCTAAAGAGCATTTGGGGAGGCTTGCTATATTTTCACAGTTCAAAATGAAGTTAATATCATTATAGTTCACCCCCTCCTCCTATATAAAGAAATTTCAAAAGCTTTGATTGCCATTTACTTAATTTTCACTTGAGCGTCAACATTTCACTCCAAAATCTTCATTTACCATTTACATGATAGACGTTTCCAATAAATAATGCCATCTTTTGATCCATCAGAGAAACTAATATATTGGCTAGACTGATGATATCATTGGTTGTAGGTAGCAATATGCAAAAATAGTGCTAACTATTGCTAATTTTGATAAAGTACTACCTATGACATCATTAATCGAGCTGTAGTTTCTGTAGTTTCTCTGATTAATCAAAAGTGGCATGATTTATCAGAAACGTCTATTAAGATTGATCTTCATTAGCTTTTGATAGTTGGGCATAATCCTTTATAGCATAATATTTACTGATTTGGTTGTTTTATCCCAAAAGTGACTCACAAATTATTTAAAACATCCCCATTTCTCACAGATATTCAAATATTACTTTATGTATGTTATAATTTATGTATATCGATTTCATTAATTTATGAAATAGTCATGTAGTTGTATTTATTGTATTTATTTGATACCCTCAGAGATCTCAGGTATTGTATATAAATCATATGTTTTATTTGAAGGATTTGAACTTATGGCTTTAATCTTTATCTCCTGTCTAGATCTGGTTATATCAGTGTTTTCTATGTCAATCTTTTTCAGTAATTGCTTTTGTAGTTGTAGCCTTATTACAGAACTACAATGTAGTAATGGCATAAGTTAGTGCATGAGCAAATATTGTATTTTAGTAAAAGTATTGTAAAATATTATTGTTTTGTTTGATGACTGGAGGATGTGTTCAGATGGCATAATTTTACTTCATCTTCTTTTGTTTGTGTTTTTCTACATAAATGTATACTTCTCTTAAAAAAGGATGTGCTTTTCTTTAAAATTATATGTATCTAACTACATGTTTTATTGAACAGAATCTCCTTGTGGTCACAAAAACAGTATGCCTACGTGATATAAAATGATCAGTGGAAATCTTACTCATTATTTTTACTTTGACTCTGAGAGGTTTGCCTCTTAAAGTGTTACACTTCAAGATTCTTATATGATTCTATAAGTAGTTTGAGAAACATATTGCCACAATGTACCAAAATGACAATCCTTCCGTTGACCATAAGGAACCAGTCCATTACCAAGAGTGGAATGTGATTCCATTTTAAGTGAGGCAATTATTCATTTCAAATCCAAATTGAAGTGTCTACTAAGGAATGACCTGACAGTTTAGTCTACCTAAATGCTTACCTGCTCTTTATTTTAGGCGAAAATCTCAACGAAAGCAGGCAGAAGTTAACCACAAGGAACCTGGAGTGACAAAGGCCCTAATGAGTGAAGTACCTGCCCATCCAACTGATCCTGTGGAAATGAGGAGACTTAACTTCCAAACACCTGGTATGTCAACTTTAATCCTTTACAAGGCTCATTGAGTTCATCTTCTACTCTTATTTTAACAGTTAAATCTCTGAACTCTAATTATATAGAACCAGTTGTTAGTCAGCCATAATTTTTATCCGCATAAAAAATGTTGATTTAGTGTACATATAATAATCATATTCTGATGAGTCAAAGCTTGACACTAAAACATGTGCATGTAGTATTAATTCAGTATTTTGCATTCTAGCCATGATGAACCACCCACCTATAGACATAACAGACTTGGCGAATCACATAGACAGACTGAAGGCCAATGACAACCTACGCTTCAGCCAAGAGTATGAGTCAATAGAACCTGGTCAGTCATTCACCTGGGAGAACTCACACCTTGAGGTGAACAAGCCAAAGAATAGATATGCCAATGTCAGTGCATATGACCACTCTCGTGTTATACTACAGCCTGTTGATGGGATACCTGGAAGTGACTACATCAATGCTAACTACATGGATGGTTATAGGAAACAGAATGCATACATTGCCACACAGGTGGGGGTCTTAAGGAATTTACATGTTAAATGAAATTTTGTATGGAAGTGAAAAATTGCAAAATTCTCTCTGGAGGATATGTCTGCCAGTCCTACATGGGGCAAAATATATATCAGAAAACATTTCATTATATCCAAATAATATCATAATGATATCAGGTTTTTTGATTATTTCAATAAACCTCTATGTATTTAAATATATATGTTATGCTTGTAGGGTGCCATGCCTGAGACATTTGGCGATTTCTGGCGCATGGTGTGGGAGCAACGTAGTGCTACAATTGTAATGATGACGAAATTAGAGGAGAGAACAAGGGTAAGTTTATCGAAATGTTGAACTTTTGTGATGTCACAATATTGATTGATTTATAGTAGTGTTCCAAAGATGTACTCATATAGTCATTGATTGATTGTTTCTCGATTAATATAATTATACAGGTTGGTAATTGCTGTCTCATAATAATAGTATAGATTTTTCATTTTGTTTGAAATGTTGTGTTTTCAGATAAAATGTGACCAGTACTGGCCAAACAGAGGCACAGAAACGTATGGCCTCATGCATGTGACACTTATAGATGTCACTGAACTGGCAACATACACCATACGCACCTTCCAGATATCTCGGGTAATTCACATTTCATTCACTAGAAACTCACTTGAAGTTTATAAATTTTAACACCTCAATTGCATCCTCATTCAGCTTTTCTCCAATGACCTCAATTGTTGATTGACAAATATAATTTTATTTTGTCCATATGCTATGACATCATATTGAATAAGACTGAATATGATTTACCTGGTCCAATATTTTCATATTTTCACCAGATATATGCTATTGACTGCTTGGAATAAAGACAATTGGATTTTTAATGTGTTAAAAATGCACAATGTACCTAAAGAGGAACAATTGAATTCTTTTCTCAAATATTCAATGAATCTCTTCACTTCCCCATCATTTCACTACACTCTATATGATATATTTGCACCTGCACACAGTGAATATGTAAACCTCTGTGATACACAAATTGTTTTACATATATTGCGACTTGCGAGTATTATGTACATACCATTGATCTCCCATATATTGGACCATTGGGGCATTTTAGAATATTGACTAGTTAGATGTCCTCGAGAATTACAGCTCTTGTACATGCATGAAATTAACAAGCATTGAATTGTCCTTCATTGATTTCCAAACTTATTACATCAAGAAAAATTCTCTTGTTTGTGTAATGTTTGGCAAACTTTGTCAAAACTTTTATCCATTGGCTATTTTGGTTGGATCCTCAAATAAGGCTATCCTATTAGGAATTAAAAGAATTAAGTTAATTTTGAATGTTAATTGGTCTTAAAAATGATATCTACTAAGTATAAGTTGAGAGAGGTGAAATGTGATCCTGTATATAGTAGTTTGTTCATGTGCCTTGATTGGAAGATTATACATTATATTGTTTGTTCAGTAACAGTGTGTCTCTGCATGCCCCTTTAATCAGCATTCTTTTCTTCCCTATGAAGCGTATGCGTAAGAAATCTGGGGAGAAGTCATCAAAGGTACAATCTAATGCCCTGTAGTTGCATGTTCTCAGTTCTATTATTCAGTTTCAACCTCCTATTTCATATTTTTACTTCAAAGAATAGTAAGTTGTTCACAGTAAAAAAGAATTTAATTGTTTAATGTGTTTCTGTGTTTCTGAGTTTTTTTGTAGTAAAAAATGAAATATTATTGGAATATTTTGGTAAAATTCCCTAAATATGAACCGATGAATAAGTTTTGATGTAAGCATGCAGAGACATTTATATTTTGTTTTATATTTACATAGTTTTGTCCAAAACAGTTGATTTCCCCTGTTATATTTACTTTAAGTGTTTTCAATTGACATTTTCAATATACATGTAGTATAATCATCGCAGGTTTTGTGGTTAACTCTCCCCACTTGGTGGTGGTTTTGTTTTGTATAGCTTTTGTCTAGTTATGGAACTAGTATTAACATCTTATTGTATAAGTAAGTCTAACAATTTTTTGGGCATGGAAATTATTTTTTATATGGAGTAGGCCAACAATTGCACTAAGTTTCTTACTAGTCACAGCAGGCAACTCAAGGCTCAACTACTAAGTTCTCAGACTGAGTTAGTTATGGAGTCCTGGGCCCTGTTGTAAGGGATGTATTATTATCAAACAACCTGTAGTGTAGAATTCTAGCATCATTATGTTTAACTGTCTTATTCCAAATTAATACATTCTAAATAAATCTTAATCCTCTTTAAATAGCTAGCAATCTATCAAGTCTACTTTAAGCATGTAGTTCTCTACTTTTATTAAGGATGAGGTCAATATGTTGCCACTTGTTGTCCCAAAACATAACTACACAAAATACTAATTGATGTTAATTGATTTTTATGTCACTACCAAAAACACACTTCAACATATTGACCTTGTCTTTGAGGAACATATATCTGTGCAATACCATCATTAGGAAATAATTTAAGTTGTATATATTTTACAGCATGGCTATGGAGAGAAACGTGAAATTCGCCAGTTCCAGTTTACGGCATGGCCCGATCATGGTGTACCTGATCATCCCACTCCTCTTCTGTTGTTCATGAAGAGAGTGAGGAATGCAAACCCTCCTGATGCTGGTGCTATGGTAGTACACTGCAGGTATGCATACACATATTTACAGCTAGTTTTTGTACTTGTTATATCATAATGTTAAAAATGCCTATGAATTGTACCTGCAATTTCTTGTGAAATAATTTTTTTTAAATCAGCCTGTTTTCCGAAATATATCTTGAGGCAATGCTGACTGTAGAATAATTCATGCAGGCCTAGAGAGAAAATATATACAGTTATTTATATCATTGGATCGTCGTCTCTATTTCAGCGCTGGGGTTGGTAGGACAGGAGCATTCATTGTTATTGATTCAATGCTAGAACGCATCAAGCATGAGAGACGTGTTGACATATATGGTCATGTTACATGCCTACGTGCCCAGAGAAACTATATGGTCCAGACAGAAGATCAGTATATATTTATCCATGATGCCCTTCTGGAGGCAGTCCAGAGCCTCAACACAGAGGTCCCTGCCCGCAACCTTTACGCCCATATACAGAAACTCACCCAACCGGAGCCTGGAGAGACAGTCACTGGCATGGAACTAGAGTTTAAAGTATGTACATTTTTGAATATCTGTCATTATTATTACAGGGTGTGATACAAGCACTGGCTTTTGATCTGGGCTATTGCTTCAGAATTATAGTAAAATAACCTTTGGGTCTACAAACCTTTTGATTAGGGGTGGGACGGATAACCGAAATACCGAAAAACCGCGGTTCATAGCCTTCGGATCGGTTTTCGGATCACGGCCCTACTTTCGGATCAGCTTTTCGGATCGTTTTCGGATTAATATTTCATTGGTCAAGTATCAATAAAACAGTTAAAAACACTGTTTTACAGCAACATTTTTGATATTCCTAGTCCCTCCCTTGTCTGTCTTGTCTGTTGCTAGCTCACTCGTTTACTAGATTCGTTTCGTATCCGCATATTCGTATCCCTCTGTAATCAAACATGTGGTCCCTGGTACTATATTCTTTAGTCGTAAAAAACGCATCACAGAATAAAGGTTTCTACAAGCATAAATTAGTTATTTTATTGGTTGTATTAAAAGAAAGTGACAGTCAGCAGTGAAGTCAGAGACAAAGCAGCTAATCATGTCAATCAATACAAATCCTTAAAATGAATGAACCGAACCAAAAAAACCGAACCGACGGCTGATGATCCGAAAAACCGAACCGAACCGAACCGAAACGAACCGTCCCATCCCTACTTTTGATGCGCCCTGTATCATTATATCATTATAAGTATTATGTACATGTAGAAAGCATGCTTATGTTGATATTTTGAATGGAGTCTATTATCTAAAGAGCCTAGAAAGTTTATTTATTCAATACTCTAAACAACAATTTATTGACAAATATCTCATCTAAAATAAATATAAAAACTGTTGAATAACATTTCTCATTTTGTTTTCCAGAAACTGGCCAGCATCAAGGCTAATCCATCACGCTTTGTCTCCGCCAATCTACCAGTCAATAAATTCAAGAACCGACTGGTCAACATTCTACCATGTAAGTTTGTTCACCAATTTGTATTGGACATTTCATTACAAAGCAAATCTGTCCATATTCCTTTTTGAGAGACCATTAATACCAGAGTTAACAATAGAAGAAAGCATGTACTTTGTTCATCTACTTTTGAGTTGTTTATATCTTAGTACTATATATTAATAAATCAGAAACAAATACATTGTAACCTATTCTGATGAAGAAAAATGTTACACTGTAAAAACAAGTGTGACATTATACTGAATGAAGCAAACAGATCACAGACTTTTATTTTATTTTTTTTTTATTTATTTTTATTAAAATCAATGTAACATATTTACAGGTTGTAGTGGCTATGACCCCCAAGAGGGAGTATTAGGTGCCACATAATGGTATTTACAATGATTTGTGAAATATTATTATTATTTTCATTCCAGATGAGTCAAGTAGAGTGTGCCTGCAGCCATTCAGAGGTGTCGATGGCTCCGACTACATCAATGCAAGCTTTATAGATGTAAGTTCATATTAAACATGCCTAGTCTATTGCGTAACTCATAGAAGGTAATTCATATGCAAAAGTAAGTAAAACTAATTTGCGCTAAAAATGTTGAAAGGACTACAGTGATAATCAGATAATGCATGGGAACCTTATGTAAAATACTCCCAATCCAAGATATGGCTGCCTGCACTTATTCCAGTCTTATAAGAATGAATGGGTTAACATTTTTTGACTTCCATCATTATGACATCTGTAAGCTTTAATGGAAAGGAGGTTGTTATCTAATCTTTTACTTCTTTCTTATGCTACATTAAATCTCTGTGATTCCATAGTTTTGTGCAAGCTTATGATTATACTGGTTACATTATTGATCATGATTTATCACATCTTTATTAACATAAAATGCAAGATTTATCATTTCTCCTTCAGGGCTACCGATACAGGCAGGCGTACGTAGCCACACAGGGCCCTCTCGCAGAAACCACAGAAGATTTCTGGCGCATGCTCTGGGAGCATAATTCAACCATCATCGTCATGTTGACCAAACTACGGGAAATGGGGCGAGAAAAATGTCATCAGTATTGGCCAAGTGAAAGGTCACAGCGTTACCTCTACTTCGTTGTAGATCCTATGGCTGAATATAACATGCCATCATACATACTTAGAGAATTCAAAGTCACTGATGCCAGAGTAAGTGAACATTGTATTGGTCCAAACTATTGGTTTTAAATATTAGATAGCCAAAGGAAAAGATTAGAGAGAACTTGAACTCTCCCATTTATATCAATGGTTTCATAATGCAAAACAAAGTTTTGATATTATTGGAAATAGCGGGTAATGAAAGTTTGAGAACATATTTTGTGTTTGTATTGCAATGGTTAATAGTGTATGTGGTATATTCTAGGATGGGCAATCACGGACCATACGACAGTTCCAATTCACAGATTGGCCAGAACAAGGGGTACCCAAGTCTGGAGAGGGCTTCATAGATTTCATAGGCCAGGTTCATAAAACTAAGGAGCAGTTTGGCCAAGATGGTCCCATCACCGTTCATTGCAGGTAGATACTTGGATAATTATGCTGAATGAATGACAGTGATGATAATACAATGATCATTTGAGTTAATCTTCAGATGAGAGGTCCATTGATAACACATTTAGTCGGCGAAATGATTTGAAAAACATACCAGTATACTCATTTAAAGTATATAACAAGTGATCCTTTTACAAAACTTGATTCGATTCCCTACTTTAACTTAACTTGTGTTTTATTTTCAGTGCTGGGGTTGGACGCACAGGTGTGTTTATAACATTGAGTATTGCCCTGGACCGCATGCGTTATGAGGGTGTTGTAGATATGTTCCAAACTGTAAAGATGCTTAGAACACAACGACCAGCCATGGTACAAACAGAGGTAAGTGCCAAAGCACAATCAATTACTCTCCAAACTTACTATATAAACTACAATGCTCAAAAAAACTGAATTTATAGATCACATAAACTTGCAAAATGAAAAAAGGAATTGCATATTTCGCTAATTTGTCTTTGGTTATTCAAGATTAGATTTTACTTGTTGTTAACATAGTTTCTTTTTTGTTTCAGGATCAATTCCAGTTCTGCTACCGAGCTGCATTAGAATATCTCGGCTCATTTGACCACTATGCAAACTAGCCCCCTCCATCTTCAACTTCATGTCACAATTGAACAGTCAAGTATGGCTCTTGAACATAATTAAATAGTCAAGTCAAGCTTGACCAAAATGAGACAGCCAAGCTAAGCTTGTTTAATGGTTGGATATAAGCTGAAGTTTACCTGAATGAAAAAAGTCAAGCTGAGCAAGGCCTGGTTGAAAACAAATGAGTCAATATTTTTTGAATGTGAACAATCAAGTGAACCTTTTCTAAAATAGAAACCTAGATGTTTTGCACTATTAAAAGCTCATAAAATGAGGGGTTAGTGACTAGTGTGTGCAACAAGGATTATGTGGCTTGTTAACTGGATATCATGGTGCTTATAGAGAGACTAGAACACTGTAGAATCGATGGCTCTTTGATTCGGGCCCACATGGAGCTATGTACATACACGCAGACAACGAGTCATGGATATAACAAATATGGGCACATCACCATATATAGATGACACTGTACACAATACAGCATCTTGAATGGGCCATAGTTGTAATGGACTATTTGATCGATAGGCATTACTGGTAAAACCAGTGATTGTTATGTTTGAGTGAACCCTGGTATGGAACTACCAGATGTTGTCGATGAAGCGAATCAGGTAGAATTGCAGAAGCAATACGTGAATACTGAAGTGAGCTGCGCTGCTAGATAAATACAGGAGAATGAAATGTATAATGAAGCATCAAGCTCAATATAAAACCACACATATAGAGAAACCATGATTTATGAACATATAGTTAATGTTGTACAGTGCACATTGGTTATAATTCAGTGCTTATGTGTATTATATAAGATACTTTACATGACATATATAGGAATGACAATCTTGGTGATTGAAATGTTCGGAGGGACAAAGTTGAGGAATGTTTTCAGCCATTTATGGCATATTAAGTTCAATATTAGCAGAAAATGGAGGTTTAACCAAAGGAACACTTGGTCTAGTGTGAAATTGCCAATGAAGTTATGGGATAGCCTTTGAGCAGTGCTGGACTATATACATTATACATATAGACTTTGTTTATATATACAGTGTATTGCATTGAGCGTCATCCAACGGCAATATATTGTGAATTTTGTATACAATTTTACTTTATAATTTTATATGAATGTGACATTCTGTGTAATTCTAGAGGTATGTGTAATATTGTTGGATAAAATGGATATCCATATAACACAAATTACTTTAAAGATGATTCCAAGCAGAGTGGCTTATATCAAGCATACATGTACATGTAGTGATTCTAACATAAAACCAGACAAATCTTGTACTATCTAACCAATGAAATATAGTGTTCATTCTGGATGAAATAATCCATTTTGATTTTACATTTATATGAGTAATATTTGCTTTTGTCACCAATGAAATATTTTAGTTAAATTCAGTATTTATTCAATGTAAATAATGTACAATGTATGTAGTAATGTACACATATATAAATTCTATAAAACCAGATTTTTAGTGAGTGGTTTTCCGTAAAATTAGAGAATCCTTATGTTAAGGAGGTCAAATGAAATTGAAGAATATTATATGGATAATGTAGTACTCTTGTATACCAATATTCAGTTCATGTTTTTCAGTTGTCAGTGTGAGTTTTATGTTTTGGAAAGTATATACAGTACAGTATTGTGATAATCTTGTTAATTTGCTAGGTAGGCCTATACATACACAATGAAACATGAAGTCTTTAAGCATAATCAAGTCTGGATTTGTTCTCAATGATCATTATTTTAATAAAATATTGTTATCAATTTATTTAAAGGGAGAATGTCTGATTATTTACCAGTCCATTTGCATCTGAAGATACTTAATGGAATATTGCAAAAAAAATATTTTGTGTAATACTGTACTTCTTACTTATTGAAGATTTTGGTCAACAGATTTATAAATTTTTCATTCTGAAAAGTGAAATTCACATCTCAAAGAAAATAATTTTGCATTAAACCTACAAATTATTCTCCTCTGTACATGTATGTACCATTCCCACTTTAAAGATTTTATAACAAATATTTTATAAAAGCTTGACAAGGTTCCAAGTATTTACAGATCTCAGTTTCATTTCTTCTGATTCATCAGGTTCTGTGTTTTAAAAATGTTCATATGATCGGGTAGAAACATATTTAATACTACCAGATAATGTCTGCTTTGTCTTCCTGTAAACCTTCAATTTGTTAAACATCAAAGGTACTGTTCTGTTAAGCATGTATAATACTACCATGTATATGGAATCTATATTTTAAGTTGAAAAAAAATCATGTTTTCTGTAAGCATTGTACATTAGCATGTAATGTTTATGATAATTATTATAATGTATATGAAGATATTCATCTCGCCTTATATAAGTACGGTAGAAGTTTTGCCTTTCTAAGATTCAATGTTTTAACAGCATTTTGCTTCTTAATGTTCTATCATTGTGCAATGAAATGTACTGCTTTCTTCAAACGTCATAAACCTGGGATTCACAGCCTCTATAACTGTATCACGTACACATCACTTTAGTGTAGGAATCTTCATTTCTAACCTTTTTTAGTTCTAAACTATTTCAGATTTACATTTGTTTAGAAGACAAATCATTTATTTATGATATAAGATTATTAAGTTGTACAGCTGTAGCAATCTCATAGATTTTTATGTTGACTGTAAGAACTTTTGTTTTTACTTTTTTATTTGGCTAATCTGTACTATTAGCTTTGGTGATGGGCATTTTGACCACCTCCCAGGTTTTGTCATTAGTCTCATATTCCTAGAATGTCGAATAATACATGGTATATTATTATGAGAAACAAGCTTTCACAAACAACATGTAGCTCATTGCAACCTAGTGATTTATGTTTTGTTACCATTGACATCTGCATATATCAAATAAATACATCTGAATGAAATATATGAATTGAAAATTATGTTATTTTATCTGGATTCTAAGTATAATTAATGAAGATGTTCAAAGTACAAAGTAAAGGGACCAAGTAAATGGGGCCCTGACCCCTCCCCCTTAGTGGGCCCAGAAATCTTTTATAGTTTTTAGGCACCAACATTTTGTAGTGCCTCTAAAAATGGGCGTTTTTGGGCACAATTTGGCCTTTTTAAGCCTTTTTTGGGCCAATTTATCAAACATAGACTCAAAATTTGTGCCCCCTCCTTGTTAATTTCTGGATCCGCCACTGCCCATAATTGTCTTTTAAAAATGTATGGTTGATTTGTGAAATCGACGCCACAACTACTGTATTTGCACTTGTTTATTCATCTTTATTACACAACCACTGGCGGATATGGGGGGGGGGGCCCAGGGGCCCGGGCCCCCCCCCCCTTGGGTGGGCCCAGAAAAAAAAATGTGTGCCCAAAAAAAATTTTGAGCCTCTTATTTGTTAATATTAGGCCAAATTTTTAAGAAAATGGGCCTCAAAATTTCAAAATTTGGGCCCACTTTTGGGTTTTTGGGGCCCAAAATTTTTTCCCGCGCAAGCGCGGAAATTTTTTTATCAGACCACAAGTTTGGGCCCCCCCCCCTTGTTTAGTATGTATCCAACAGACTGACTGAGAAGTCAGTCTGTTATGATGTACTACTTTCCTGTGGAAATTGCAGTGAAATTTTTTGCACAAAATTATCAATTAGAGGAAACATTTCTTCAATAAAATAAACATTACAAAATTTCAATTAAATAGTAAGGTACAATTAAATGCAATAAAAAGTATCACAGCATATTGTCAAGTGGAAATAAAGCTAGTTGAAGTAACAAATGTGCAAATTAATTTTACCCAATCGGCCATTTTGAATAGCACTTCCTATGTGAACAAATATTTATAATTACCAAACTTTAACATAGGTGCCTTATAGTCTGAATATAATTCAGACTAAATAGGATATAGTCTACCCCCTTGTTGGTTCCCAGATCCGCCCCTGCACAACTATTGATAATTGACACCATCCTATGAAGCTAGACTTTTACTGCCTTTCATACATGTATGCTATACTTTACTGAACACAGCTGGCTCACGACTCAGCTCGATAGACGTAGAATAAGCTACTAAAGCTAGTATTCCCGTTTGCGGCGTTGTTTTTTTTTGTTATTGATGATCTGAATAATTGAATTGGTATCAAGTGCTGCCATCTTTGAAATGTATGAAACTTTAGTCATATATATTGGCATTTGAGAGTCATGCCATCTATTAATCCAATTTCTATGTGTATATTAAGTTTTTTCAGATAAATTAATAGTATTGAACAAATTGATTTGGTGTATTTAGTGATAAAATTGAAAAATTCAAACTTTTTTCGTTTTTATACAAGATTTTGACACAATAACGTTTTAAATAAGCAAAAAGCCCTTAATCTCTCAGTTGTGGCTTGTTGGTCTAGGGGCATGATTCTCGCTTTGGGTGCGAGAGGTCCCGGGTTCGAATCCCGGACAAGCCCGATTCTTTTGTTCCCGGGTTCGAATCCCGGACAAGCCCGATTCTTTTGTTTTATTTTGTCTTCAAGACAAGTGCTTTTGGTGACCATTCCGGTGTAAAAGGGTAGGAGGTCCTATCAAGTTATGGTCCCACTCTCCATTGATTTATATGGTGACCTAAATACAACTCTCCCTCATTATCTTATACGCAATAAGGGCCAGTGAGGGTCGTTAAGAAAGGGGACCATAATCCCTGGGGGACCATCATTTCTTTCACACCTGGCTTACTTCTCGATTCAATTACAGAATAGAATTGATCATTTTAGGAAAAATGGTGACAGAAACGAAGATTAGGCTATGTTTCATTGCACGTTCGCAGGGCGATTATGACTGTATTCTGGGGAATTGATTGTACTTTCAATACACACTTATGAGCAGACTGTTATGGGCCACTTATCTGTGGCTGGATAAACAGGAATGAAAAACCTCAGGGTCCCAATCTCCTTTGTTTGAATTCGCAAAAATAAAAAATGTAAAAAAAAAATGAAAAAAGTTGTTATGTTATGTTTCACTGCACGTTCGCAGGGCGATACTGTATTCTGGGGAATTGATTGTACTTTCAATACACACTAATGGGCCACTTATCTGTGGCTGGATAAAGGAATGAAAAGCCTCAGGGTCCCAATCTCCTTACGGTTTGAATTCGCAAAAATAAAAAATGTAAAAAAATGAAAAAAGTTCTTATAACTTTTTGAATAGACGCTGCACGCTGAACACCCACAGCTGGCAGTATTTTTTTAATAATATCCAATACAGAAAGTTTTTTTCTGCTTGGATATTAAATATAACAAATTCTGCCATCTGTGTGATCACCAACCGCCGAATGCCGTCAATATAATCATGCCACAGATCCGGAGCCAGATCCAGCCCCTTTGGTAGTAGGCTCAAAAGATATATTTATTGAGCCTAGACCCAGAGGAGGTAATCTGGCAGAGGTCCGTGTACATATGCATCCTAAAATTTCAACCAAGTGCAACATCGCTATTTTTTAATTCAGTGATATTGATTCCCTCATCAGTTTCATAATTTTATAACAATGTAACATTTTCCAGAAATATTAAGTAAGTGTTTTGGTCAAAGTAGGTTGTGAAATCACTAAAGAAAAGTCATGAATTGAGTCATGTTTGCAATGTCTGTTTAATTCTGTCTTTACCATTCACCATCTTGGATATTTCTTCTGTGTTAGGGAGGGGATTTTTAATTATGTTGAGGATGAATTGCTTCATCCTCAACATAATTTTTTAGGCTGGAACTAGCTTAGGCAAACAATACTTATTTTATTCATTTTTTTGTAAGTGCACAATTGTTTCTCTACAAAACCTTGAAATAAAAAAAAAATTAGTAATAACACAAAAGATTCGGGCTCGTCCGGGATTTGAACCCGGGACCTCTCGCACCCTAAGCGAGAATCATACCCCTAGACCAACGAGCCATTGGTATAGATGGCTTGGCACTTTTATGCACTATAAATATTTTCACGTAAACTTGACACTCAAGTGATGTCACTTCCGTAAACAAGTCACGTGAAATTAAAAATTAAAATTTTACTCAACCCTCTCATAGTTTCTCTATTCTAAACTATAAAAGAGCGCGCATAGATAAAGATGGGATGGACAACAAAGCAACTTAGTCTGGCACTTATGATGGTCGTAACTGGATCTATAAATACACTCTCAACTAAGTATGAACTTTTTTTTTATTTCATGTCAGCTTCAATTCTGGAAACTTTGATAATTTGAAAGAAAAGGCCTTGCAATATAATATAGCATTGTCACGGTTATACCTAACCAAACCCGTCTGTCCCAGTAATCTACTCCCGATTCTGAATTGTCGTAGATCTACGATATCGAGAGTAGATAACTGGGCCAGACGGGTTTGGTTAGGTTATACCAGGCTTTCACGATAACACTACCATGGTCATGGCAGGATCCTTGTGAAACTGAAAAACACTTGGTAACATGGTGACAGTTGTGCCAGGCATGTCTTTGAACAGATAGGGTCTCCGTTTAGGGTCTTCGTTTAGGGGGGTCTCCTACTATTTTTTTCATGGCCTGAGATCGTCGCTAACATGCTAAATATAAGAGTTAGCTGACGTTTGGGAGTCTGACTTACCTTCTAAAGGTTAGAACTCGAATCTTAATGAAACCATATCACCTTTGTTCCGTCAACCATGGAGCATTTGCCACAACATCCAAGAGGTAAATCATTGACCGTGAAAATGAATGATTTCCTTGTAAGTTCCAAAAGTTTCAATACGAAAAATTGTCGAACATAGGTGAAAACAGAATATTTGTTCGTTGTTTTCACGATTTACAGGTTCGTTTGTTCTCCAATGTTCTGGTCAAAATTATAAAGCATCACCAACAGGTCTTACTCTATTAATCGACTAATACAGCAGACGGCTTATATTTCTACGTAGCATTTCGTTCAGACCAATAGTGGGAGTGCAGATCACGCAGTTTCGTTCGTTGCGTACTTCACTTGAAATTGGTAATTTTAAATATTGGCTACTTCACTTAGCTTGGCGGATGTAGAACATTGCTTAATATTCTTTTAATTTTCACACCAGACATGCTTGGTTGACACGTCAACAAAGTAAAGTTCAAGGGTCAATGCGTTATTTCGTGATAACTACAACGCCTTCCCGGAAGTCAACATTGATGAAAAATGAAAAAGGCGGAAAAGCATTTACACTAATTTCTATCAAATGCTGTGTTTATGCATCATCATCGACGCAACAAAGGTGATATGGTTTCATTAAGATTCGGGTTCTAACCTTTAGAAGGTAAGTCAGACTCCCAAACGTCAGCTAACTCTTATATTTAGCATGTTAGCGACGAACTCAGGACATGAAAAAAATAGTAGTATGTATCCAACAGACCGAATATAATATATATGAATTTATTCAGACGAAGGATACAGTCTAGGGTCTCCCCCCAGGAAAATTTTGAAATTTGCTTGTACATGTATTTGCAGCAAATTTGCTACCATCTGGTACACCTGTGCATACACAGCGTACCGGGCGCTACATCTATCCTATCGACACTTACTCAATACCATTAGGCCAGGGTGCATGTTCGGAATTTTTCTGCATTCCTAATTTTTGGCGCACACAGTGAGCCTATTGGATTGACTAGGCGTATGTCAGTCCGTTGGTCCGTTCATCAACATTGGCCGCACAAATTAAAACTGCTATTCGGATTGAGTCATATCCACATGCATTTTATGTATTTCCATAATGCCTATTTGATACCCTGCGTGCAGAGTCTAGTTAAACTACACTCTGCCTAGTAGAGACCATATTACAGTTTAGTAGCCCCGCCCCCACGACGGGTACCGGTGACAGTTTGGGTAATACTATAAATCACTTCTGACCTATGCGCTGACCTTTCTTCCACCATTCAGCGAGCCTGAACAAACATACGCCAAATGCGTTCTAATTAAATATGCGCATATCATTGGTCAATTCCGGGCTCAACGATGACGTCAGAAGGAATGACCATATATAGAACCGTTAGAACGTCGGTCAAATTTGGCCGACGAACACTGATTGGCGCGGTGAGTTCGCAGGTTTATTTTAGTTTGAAAGAGTGAAGACGAAGCTCTCTTTTAAGAAGTGAAGTCAAACGAATGCAAAGGGTACCTATTTGACCTATCATCGACCATTTCCCAAGTTCGCCCAGTTTCCGAGAAATTGCTGATTTTGATGTCAAAAAGTCAAATTTTCTGTAAATATGGACACTTTGTTGAAGTAGAACTTTCAAATAATTTGTAATACTGTAAAACGAGTAAATTTGACACTGGGAAATTTTAGCGATTTTTCAATTTTAGGGGGTTTTAGTGCGGGAAACTTTAGCTAAATGAAGATTAATCTTTAAAAAATCAAATTAGCGAATAATGCATTAGAAATTTTATCATTTATGGCAGAAGAATGAAAAAACGGACATGACAGAGGCATTATCAAAATGTAAGACTTCTAACGCACATGGTATTGGTCCAAAGTACTGTAATCTCATCTGACTAATCACAAAATCACGGTAGCATTTATATACATACGATTTAAAAATATTTACCTTTTTCAAGTTACAAACTGGAAGTTGAGCACTGAACGAAAAGCTCCTTAAATACTAGTATTCATGTAGTTTCCCGGGAATTTGCAAATTTTAGCGCCCGGTTTATTTTAACCCCGGTTTATTTTAGCGAATTGAATTTTTAGCGAAACTATAGTGATCGCTAACAATCGCTAACAATTACCCCTCGCTACAATACCCGTTTTACAGTAGTTGCTGTAGATGCAACTTATGTTCTCTGAAGATTTCAAATCTCTCGAAATTAGAGTTTTTGGTGTTTACTCTACAAAATTTGACAAAAAGTTTGTCATTTTCAGGGAACTTTCTCATGTATAAAGTCAATCATCATTGGCTGCACAAAACACTGTGTGAGCACAGGACCGTGGATCCTTTTTTCAAACAGGAATCACTCCTTCAAGGCTTCCACACATTGTCTACATCTTCCAGTTTTGCACAAAGAGTGTGCTTATCATGTGCCTAGAAAAAACTGGTGAGAAAATTTGTTTTGAAAAATATGTAAAAAAGAGAAAATTCGGTAAAAAAAATTTCCGAAAATTTTCTAATTTTTTTCTCTGAATTTTCTTGTTTTTTATACATTTTATCAAAACATTCTTCTTTACACTATTTTCGAGTTTAAAGCCCATGGTACATTAGTGCACTTGTTTTGCAAAAGTGAGAGATGTAGACATTGTGGGGAAGGAGTGATTCAAATTTGAAAAGTAACATGTGACCCTATTGAGGGTTGCAGCAAAATTCCGAACATGCACCCTGACCTTAACTGTTACACAGAAACATTGTATCAACTGGTACATCTACATCAGCATGACTGACACCTGACAACTCAGGGCCATAGTCAGCTATTGCTAAAGGGGGAGTGATCCACTTTTCAAAGAATTCCATTTCACTTGTATCTCATACCAAGACCATCTCCTCCTTCATACGAAAGCCCATACTGCATTTACAGAGAGATTTAAAGATGTATTTAGTTGTCAAAGACATTGTGACGAGTAGGATAATTCTGATGATGTGGTCCAATTTTTTATATTCCAGATGGGCTGACAGAACATTATCAAAAGGTATTGATGGTACAGTTCGACATTTCAACCATCCATTCTTGCAGGTAAAAAGTGTATAATCATTTTACACTTTAAATATTTTATACAATATTTCAATATATGAATCATCAACTTAGGAAAAGTATAAATAAAAATAGTATGTATGCTAGAGGTCTGCTAGAGAATTTCCAATGTGCAGGGTTCACTAAAATTAATTTCAAAATAGACACCATTTTGAGTAAAAAAGAAATTATTAGCTTGTTAGTTGTTACATGTAGTCTTGTTGGTCATATTCATATATTAATGGCTATCATTTTCTAAAATTCAGATGTATTTGTTTTATGCACCATTCAAAGCTTTCAGTAATAAGAAAGGTTGGGAATTTTGAAATATGAAATATAACCTAAAGTTAAAGTGCTGTTTTGTTACAAACATTTAAATTTGGTTTATTGATATTTACTATCAGGCTGTTGGCATGTTCTTGGGTGAAATGTCCTGCCTTGCTGTCTTCTACATCATATTTTTCTGGAAACGCCACAAAGGAGAGGAATTTGACGTTGGTCCCCAAACTTACAACCCCCTCATCTTCTTGCCAGCAGCTATATGTGACATGACAGGGACATCCATAATGTATCTAGGACTCAATCTAACTTTTGCATCAAGCTTTCAAATGCTGAGAGGTACTTTTATAAGTTAACTAACTACCCTGTAATGTACTGTGTGCAAAATTTTAACACATTTCTCTTAGAATTTACAAAGAAATTAACACTGGGTGAAAACTTCTCATTACTATGAGTTAAACAAAGCTATTTTGCCAATCTCTGTTGACGTTTTAACACATTTTCCACAAATGACCAAAATTGTATGTTTTAATCAGTCAACCAATTATCTTTTCACAAAAATTCTAGGAGCTGTGATGATCTTCACTGCGCTGCTATCTGTGGCTTTCTTAGGACGTGTCATCAAACGTTTCATGTGGTTTGGCATGATGGTTGTCCTCGTTGGTCTTGTCCTCGTTGGACTCTCAGACACATTGTTTGGAGGAGAGAATAAGAATGACATCAATGGAATCATATCAGGTAATTAGAGAGAATTAAACTTGAGGTGCTTGGCATAAGATTGTTTCCCAGATGTATAATACATTTCCTCATTAACTTTGTAAACCAGGGAAGCATATATCTTACACATAATATCATGGGTCTTGATTTGTCATAAGATTTGGTCTCTCGTCATTGTTTTTCTCAAAGTAGAGAATGGTTATGAGGAATCGTTAGGTATGGTCCTCCCCAAAATGGACCCCTGTATATATGTGATAACAATACATGTACATGTATTGTTCAGTTGACAGTTGTCAGGCTTCTCTACTACAACCTGGGCATGCCCCCGTTTACAAGCTTATTGTTGTACAAGCTATTTGTGTAATACATATGTACTATGTACAAGCTTATTGTGTTATTCACATCTACATGTTCAAACTTATTGTATAATACACATGATGTACATGTTCATGTACAAGCTGACTGAAATATATATGTACAATATGTATTGTTTGTAGGTGATCTTCTCATTGTGATGGCCCAGATAATTGCTGCTACACAGATGGTGTATGAAGAAAAGTTTATCAATAAGCACAATGTACCAGCCCTGCAGGCAGTTGGCTTTGAAGGTATAGGGGGTTTCTTGAGGGATTGGGTGTTGGCTTTGAAAATATCAGAGTTTCTTAAGGGATTGGGAGTTTGATTTGTAGGTATATTAGAGCAATAAAATACCACTTCTGTAAGGGACAAGCTTAAATATATTGTGGGAAATGATTGTCCCATTTTACATGTTTTTTGAAGTTCTACGTGTACATTTCAAGAAATCAAAGCCTCCAAAATCTATCTAAGAATTCAATTTTCCTTTTAGGTTTATTTGGGTTCCTTGTGTTAGGCACATTGCTAGTTCCAATGTATTTCATCAGAGTGGGACATGGCAAGTTCTCTGGAGATCCGGAGGGAAGGCTGGAAAACTCACTGGATGCTTTTGTACAGTTATCTAATTCCTGGCAAATAGCTCTAGCTACATTTGGTAAGTACATGTATAGTAATTGGAACTTTTTTCAGTCATATTTGTCCCAATTTTTCATTTTTTCAGAAAGCTGTCTACATATTCTGAAATTGATATTATTGAGTTCCATTCATGGATAAAAATGTCATCCCTAAAAATCATAGGATATAATTGAATTGAGTAATATCATTGGAAAGCATGTTGAACTTTTTTTGATTGATTGTGTTCTTCATATCTGGTTATTTCAGGTAACATTGTCAGTATTGCATTCTTCAACTTTGCTGGAATTAGTATCACCAAGGAGATAAGTGCCACAACAAGGATGGTATTAGATAGTTGTCGTACACTGGTTATATGGATGTTTGCCCTCGCTGTAGGATGGCAAGCCTTTATACCACTAGGTAAAGTAGACATACATGTACATGAATTAGTATTCAAATTAACATTTGAGCCAGATTTTTTTTGGAAGTGATTGCTGAGCATTCTTTTGTTAGATGGTCTTAATTCTTAAGGCAGTTTATTCATTACATTATTATCAGCATTCTAGACTTCTAAAGTCAGGTTAGGCCTGATTAATTGTTGATTGTTGAATTGAACATTTTCAAGATGACAAATAGGTTGATTTTCAACTGGGATTTACTGATTGTGCATTTGTTGATTTCAGCTTTCGGCATCCAGGCCATAGGCTTTGTGTTCCTTATCATCGGCATGTGTATATACAACAATATCATCATTGTGCCACTCATCAACAAATGTAGGGGAATAACACCTGAAGAGAAGGAACCTCTGCTTAGTGGAGATGATACAGGTGAGCGTAGAATAATATGTCATAGCCGTAGCCAGCGGGGGTTCGGTGGGTTCGAACGAACCCCCGGTCAGGATTTCCCAAAATATCATTTTGCGGAAAATGCATATAACCAGAATCATTAAATTACTGTGCTATTTGAAAACTACATAATATGAGCAGTAAATGAATTGATATTTGTTATGGTGAACACGAGAGCATTATTTTCTTAAAAACATGTCATAGTGACACTTCCCTCAAAACGTTTGACATGCTTCATCTCGGACAAAATAACCCATCTTGGGCAATGGCTAAATCAGTCCTTTGTAGGAATTTTGTTTTTAGCCAGTTCTGGTCCAATACGAAGTTATTGAAAGTTATTGAAAACAATGGAGACGTCCCATACTCCGAATGATTTTTACAACATTGGCGAATAAATATCTGGAATAGTCGTAACTTATTGATGAAACACATGTTCTTTCAAATGTGTACATCTCTGTTTCTCTTGCCAGCCCTGGGGCTGGCAAGTCCCGAAACCAATTAATAATTAAAAACGTTGTGAAATGAATTATTTAAAAGCGTATATCATTTATAAACACAAGCATTTGTTCAAATTCATTCATTCTTTCATTTGTTCAGTATTTATTTACCCATCACTTTCCAAAGAAAAATCAATCATTGCAAAAAATTATTTTATTTTTTTCAGATACACTCCACTCATCTAAGACATTGTATAGAATTCAAATTGTTATCGTTCCAGTTTACTTGCTCTCCATTTTCATGTTAATGTCATGATATGTTTAGCGAATAAATAATATAATAAAAAAAACATTGAGAAATTATATGGTATTAATCTTCAAATTATGAAGGCCTAATTTGTTATCAAGCCGTCTGAACTTAAAAAAATAACAGGCGCTTGTATTTATATATAATTTTATCCACTAAAACGTTTTTATTATCAATTGCGGTTGATCTGCTCTGGGGAACTTACCACTGAGCTCCGATGACGTCCAAAGAAATATTTTTAAACTTTTTAAAACAAAGCATAACCGACCCACTTATTTGAATAATAGATATTTTTATCAGTAATACGACTATCCCGGATAGTTTATATAAGCCTTCGTGTAAACGTTTTTAAAAGTTATCATAGAAGAACGATCTTTCGGAGTATAGGGTGTTTGCGTCAATTTCAATAACCTTGCATTTGATCCGAACTGGCTTCCAAAAATTTCCTGAAAAATAATGATAAGCCATTGCATGAGGTGATTTATTTTGTCCTAGATGAAGTAGCTTAAGTTAAAGAATAAATTGTGCGAAATAGTTGATATTCCTTGGAAACAAATCATGCTCCAGGGTCTTCCAGAAATCAGTCGAAATAATGGTGGATTCGGGGCAAATCAGATTTCAGGATATGTATTCAGTAAAAGATTCACCGAAGTATATTTTGATGCAGAAAATTAATTATAAGTTGTCTGACTTTTTTGCACGTTGCCTGTTTATTTTACTTTGTGAACATTAAAGTTGCAAAGCTACAAGGTCATTTTTGAAAATCATTTTTACGTCCAGACTTTTCTCATGTCATTCCTTGTCATGTCTATTTTCTAAAAATCACAACAGTGCATACTTTGTTCCAGGAAAACTAAAGATTTTTACAAAAATGTATTATTTTTCTATAAGAATGGTTACCATTCTTATTATTTGGGAGAATTTAAACATTTTTCACTCATTTTTGCACTTTGAATCATTCATAACTTCACCAATTTATAACATGTTGTGAATCTTTTGGGAGATATTGTATTTGATATTGTAAGGAATAGATTGGTAGGTCAATTATTCATGTTGCTTGTAATTGTATCACCCCGTATAGATCAGATTCTGCCTTTAATGAAGGTATTGAAATGAATTATATTTCCCCTCCCAAAATAGTTTTTTTCTTTACAAATTATGCAAATAAGAAGATGCTTTAATACATAATCCAATGGGTTAGTTAGGATTGCCAAACTTTTGGAGGGAGTGTAATTGTACAAATTGCATTATTTGAGAAACCCTAATGAAGGGGGGGGGGGATTTGTGAATAACATAAAAATAGAACCCCCGGTCACCAAATCCTGGCTACGCCACTGATATGTATAGGAAAACATGAATAGGAAGAGAAATCTCAAAATATCATCATTTGCCTGCATGCTTGCTAAATGAATATTGTATTTTATTCTGCCATATATTCTGCTTTATATTCCATGTTGCATGCAGATGCATGGTTACATGATTTGAGCACTTATTGATTGTAAACCTCTTAACGACTGTTAACTAAAGCTTGACTACATTTGAAGTCACTCATGGATGGATATACATAGTGCATGTAACTATTTGAGAATATGAATAATTGGTTGTAGATGATCTGAGAACACCTGATGGTAAGGACATACCACTGCTTTATGTATTTATATTGTGTGCATTTAGGGCTTTAGACCATCCAAAAGATCATAAATTAACACTCAAATGATATCTTGGAATATATGCATTTAACCAATTATCTTTGAAATATTAGCATGGCTTTAAAGACTTGATAACCAGCTGCAACTCATCTTATAAAAATCACTTTGCGTAAAAACATGTACACTATAAGCTTTATAGAATTACTTTGTGCATGCATGACTCCATCCATTCCTGAGTTTGTGTACTCCTCCCTTAAAGCTTATATCATTTGTATAGCTGTCAATTGAAATGTGAACTTCAAATGGAATCAATGAGATTTTTTGTTCAAATCAATATCTACCTCTTTTCCAAGATCACAGGGCTGTTTTCTTGGGATCTGAATCATTGATTTGATGAGAGTTTGCATTATTTGCTTAAATGATCTTTATTAAATAGATTTGATTAATCTTGACCATGCACACATGCCTATGCTATGTAGACACTGACTTCAGAAAAGTTATAAAGAATCCAACTTACTGTTGTGGAAAATTATGAAAATTATCACTTTTCCTTATGTTTCCTTATGTAATGAGAATAACATGATATTAACTGATATTTATAAAACCTAGAAGAAATTGTCTTGAGAATTGCCTACATAGATTTTCAAAACTAACATACTCGATTTTTATTGAAAAAGTCAAAAGAGAACAAAACTACACATATATATATTTTGCTGAAAATGGTTTACAAAAATCTCTACCACATAGCAGAATCTCAACTTTTATGAAATATAATTATTTATTGACCCTTAATTCTTATATGTTGCTTGCAGGGATCCAGGAAGAGAGTTCTAATAAGCCTATGTATCAGACAGCCCAAAATGCATAATGCATAATACATTGCCATTCCACCAGTGCCTCATGGAGACATGGACTGTAACTAGCTCCCTACTTTATACTCAATGACTCAACTACTAAACAACGCAGAACAAAAAATGATTTTAGATGATATATTAAATGAAGAAGTTTACGATTTTCAACACATTACACTTAACTGCTGAAACTTGAACTTCAGTATTATTGCACTGGCATTTTATACATTTTACATAATTGATTTTAAACACATTACATGCATATAGTTCTCTGAAAGGTTGCAATATTGCATGTGGCCATTTAATATTTGCACACAATACCTCTGAAGTTATATGTAATATCACATGAGCCATCTATAATTTTTGATTAATTTTATAACTGAGAGTGCAATGATAGAGTGGTGAGATCTCTTATTTATCTTATTTGGGGCCATTTGTTCTTTTCTAGTGCAACATTTGCAATATTAACACACACATGTGATATCAAACCTGTCAACAAAACTTCCTTATTAGCCTCGCCATAAAGGTTTCTAACCCTCTACCCTTATCTGCTTCACCTAGAGTGATAGGGGTGAAATGCCTATTTTGGGGGAGGGGGGTGTGTGGTCTCAAGCCAAATCATGATTTGAGGGTTAAGTTGTAGAATACTCAGTGCTCAGATACTCTACAGAAAATAATGGAAACAATTTAATATCCATTATTCATAGTGCAGTAAACACACTAGAAGTGATTTCCATTGAACTTATATTTTCATATTTTGTTGCATTGCAATGTAAACTGTTATTATTTATATACTAGATGATTGTAAACTGATATGTATTTTAAATAAAATGTACAATAATTATATTTTAAGACAGATTTATTTTCACTGTATTTTATTATATGTTGTTGTTTCTTAATAAGTTGTAGTTTAACCATATGAGGTCATTATATGTTGGTATCAAAATCTAAATAGATGCATGATAAAAATGATATACTACTGTACTATGTAGGCCTGTCAAGTCAGCCTTCATGAAGTGAGAGCTCTACATTTAGTCATTTACAGAGGACTCAATTTTTAGGGGGGGGGGGGGTTGAAAAGCATATTTTTGAAGAAATAATAGCCCAGAGCTCTCCCTGTGTACTAACATTATATATGAAATATTGAGTGGTTACTTAAAGGGGCAATAAGGACTGTAGAGAGAAAATTCGAAAATTTTTATTTTTTCTGAGCTATCAGGTCAATATTTGGCTTAATACCTTCTTTGACATACCTATTTTCATAAAATGTATGTATAAACTATCAATTTCAGCATTAAGAAGTGTAAATTCAATTCAAAGCTTCTATAAAGGGAGTCCCACTTATAGATTTTTAAGATCCACCATGTTTCAAGAGGAATATCAGCTGAAATAATGTTCATCCAGAGGATTTCTTTGTAGATAATGAAAATATATGTTAGTCTTGATGAAATATCCAAACCTAAATATATTTTGACACTTGTCGATGATCGTTGAATGGCCCCCCTGCACTATTTGTAGCACCTTTAACTAGGTGCTTGCATTTTGTTAATTCGAGTGTCTTCAAATTTTTACAAAATGTACTTTGAAATGTTGCATCTAAAACTGCAAAGTTTAAAAAAAATTGAACATTTTGCAAAAATTTGGACAAAATGTTACCACCAGTCCTGTTACTTTTTGAACATCCTGTATAGTTATCGTACATGAAGTTCTTATTTTATAGAATAGCACAAAATACCAGCTGCTTGTATCCTATTCCTGGAAAATGAAAATACAAATGTATTTTGATTGGCCTGGTATTTAGAACCATTCTCTCGGACACATATAAGACAAAATCATGCAAAAATTTTTTGAGCAGATTTGATTTATTCTTGTATGTGCATGTATAACACACAATATTATGTACATCTTCTACAATGTAGAAATTAAACCCTTAACACAACAATAGTCCTACAGTCAAACACACATCTCCAGGAAATGACTTTAATTGAGCTACTGCTTCAGTCATTCCACTTTCACGCATGTGTGAAACTAGAGCAATATGAACAAAAGACAAAGAAGAGATGGGGTAATTATATGGAAAAGTGTGTTTGCCATCTCACTTATTGTTCATAAATTGTATTTTCAAGACTTGTGTGCATTATCATATGACTTTTTTGAAGTGGCACAACAACGCTAGTAAATCTGTGAACTGGAATTTCCACTATATATATTCTGAATTTTCACTGTATATATTCTGAATTTCCACTGTATATATTCTGAGACAGGTAACAGAACTAGGTACCCTTTTCATTATTACATAGTATACGATGCTTGTGCAGGTTATTTTGATTTCTTATATTTGTTGACTTTGTTTATTGGAGGGGGTTTCAAAGATGTTGGCAGATCAGAAACTCTACAATAAAGCTATCCCTCCCCCACTCCCCCACCTAATTTTTCCAGGTTTTAAATGATTCCCCACCAACAAACTCAGTTAGTAAGTTTTCTGACTTGACAACAATCTTTTGGTTGCATCCCTCAAAGCATTAGTATTGCATCAAGTCATATGTGCCTCCCACTTCTCCTTAAGCACAATTGGGGCAAATTGTAAAGCTCTGCTTATTCAGCTTTTGAAATTGATGCAAGACTAGCCACATTGATACCATTGTACATGCAGTTTGTTCAGTTCAACTGGAACTGAAATGAATAGGCTTTAAAACATCATTGTCTCATTTTTCACATACTTTTGTGTATCTCTGTACATATTTGTTTACATTAACACCATCTTAAGTACTTTTGGAGGTAATTCTGAAATCTGACATATTTGATGGCATTTAAGAAACAATCCAAACTAAATTTGGAAGACAAGCAAATTCAAAATTTGATTCAGAAAGGCACCTAATTGTGCTATTATGAGATGACACAATTTCAATTATTCTTTGACATTTTAGAATTTTCTAGTATACATCATCTAAAATGTTTACCAGGTGTAATTATTGGAAAAGTGTTACAATTACACATCGTACCTGGAAATATTGGTGTTTAGGGAAACCTGTAAAGAGGGAACACCTCTACAAGTAGAACACCTGTCTTAGTAGAACACTTCAGAGTCCCACTACCAACTGACTTAATGTTAAATCAACCTCTATAAGTGGAACACCTACCAAGTGGAACCTTTTGGAGGTACCAAAGGTGTTCCACTTAGACAGGTTTTAGTGTATTCTCTTTCAACTGATCAGCCATTGGAATTTTGCCTTCTAAGTAACATGATTGATTATTGATTCATGATATTGAATATTCTTATGAAAAACATGTGCATTAATTGGCCCTATGAGGGTATTCAGACATCACACTTAGAGGATAATCTCAATACCTTTATCATGTACAGGGTGGGCCAAAGATGCCACTTTTTTCAAAATGCTATAACTTTTTTTAATTTTTGATACAAAATCATAATTTGCATAAAAAATTTATAGTGTCTTGAAAAAGTGGCGTTATTTGGCCCACCCTGTATAATACCTAATATTATCTTTTGTATTCTCTTCCATGGTTAACACTCTGAGTCGATTGTGAGGGAAATGATGCCCTGTTACTTCTGGAAGAGGTTTGTAACAGATCTCAAATAACTTGATGAACTATAATTCAATTACAATTGATCAGCTCATTTCTACATCTCCAAAACACTATAAAATAAAAAAAAGAGAGAAACATGAAAATTAGTATTTATCACATTTGTGAAAATAGTTTTTGTCAATTGTTCTATTTTGATGAGGTCATACATGTACATGTATATTATTTTATAGTGTGAGTTTCAATTACACTTGTTTCTGTATTTAAAAAAAATGTGATGACTTGCTTTTCTGTTTCACTTGAAATTGTAATAAATATTGTAAGGCAAGATAAATGTACTTTTCAGTCTTTTAAGGTATGGAACATTAAGATTAAATACTGCTTTGACATTTTACCTGCTGTGGCCTGTTCCTTGAAAATATTACAAATAATGACTTCTGTACTGGTTTTGCATCATACAGCAATATATAAATGTGACAGATTGTATTGGCTCTTTCATGTCATAACAATGACTTTTTGGTCATTAGAGAACTAGAGCTATGGGCAATTATATATATGCACAAGCATACAGTATACAGGGTGTCCAATAAATAAGGTGAAAGATATTGTAACTTTCTTAATATTGCACCAATCTTGATGAAAAAGGCGGGGCAAGTTTGTTTACGTCACAACTTTCCAAAAGATATTTATTATTCTTTCTGATAGCTTTATTCATACTCCTAGGTCTATTACTATCACAAATACAATATAAAAACAGTCTTAAACTCCCATTGTTATAAAAATAAGCTATTCAACATAATGTCCATCTCTAGCTTTACACTTCTTATACCTATCCACCCACTCTCTAAACACACTTTCAAACTCATTCTTACCCATTTCCTGAAGTCTTGCTGAGACAGATATGTTTTGGAAAGTTGTGATGTAAACAAACTTGCCCCGCCTTTTTGTTGTTTCGGTTGCTATAGCAACCACAACTCTGGCCAATCAAATAGAAGACGCTTTAAATTCACAGAAAAAAGGTAAAAAGGTTTGGGCTACATACTCTGAAAATTTCATCAAGATTGGTGCAATATTAAGAAAGTTACAATATCTTTCACCTTATTTATTGGACACCCTGTATGTCATGCACATACATAAATGATATAAATGGTACATGTAATACTCCTAAACAAATTCTTCAGTTTCTTGATTTTCATTATTTTCTTCATTTTCAGCTTCTGTAACTTGATCAGCTTGACTGGTATATGCTTCTTCCGTTGGCTCTAATGGAGTGTAAGCATAATTACCATATTGGGTACACCCATACTCTGTCTGGTTGCCATAGGAATAAGATGGATTACACTGGTAAGATGATAAACTGGAATTTGACTGATTTATTCCTATATTTGTCTGATAAATATTTTCATGTGGTGGTTCATGACCTCCGTCTGCTGAAATGCATTGATCTTTTGGAGAGCTTTGCTGTGGTGTGTTTTCTATGTGAACCGTTTCATCCTTTTGAATTTCATCAGTGCCATTGTTTGTACAGTCAGGTGTTGCATCGTCGTTGGCCCTTCTTGCCACATCTTGTTTCTTACTATCATCTGATTGGTTTGCCAGTTCTTCCGCAAGTTCCCAACTACCCTGTGAAGCCTCATCCTGCAATATGCAACATATATGACTACATGTTATACATGAATGAAAAGTTTATGGCACTTTATTGCAAAAGGTTAATCTGTCTATTCAGATTTACAAATACATGTTTTAGAACTGTTTGTACAATTTTATAGACTATATTACAGATTTTAGCAATGACCTACATTTGTATTCTGAAATGATAATAATTGTCAATGCTAAACCACTTGCATTTTCTTATTTTTACAATTAAAGAATGCATAGAAATCATCTACATGTTAACAAGGTATATTTCATAAAAATGAAGATGATTAATTATATTAGCCAGAAAATTGATTGTTAGGTAAGCACACTGCATGCTTTGGATCATTAATCAAAGATTTTCTGGTTTTAGATGTCAATAAACAGATAGATGTCAATACAGATGAGAGGTGATCAGGTTTGTTACCATGGTAACATCACATTGGATAAAGATGAATGGAATGCTCAAGGTAGAGATCAAATGGGAAAGGTACGTCAAATTTTAATTGTCTCTAAAGAAAATTGACTTGATGTGACATTTTCTACTTAAATTATCTGAGAACATGGAATAAAAACTTGTGCTTAGAGCTGATGGGAAAAAAAGTAATCAAAGGAACTGAACTCTGACTTAAACGATAATAAAAGAATGAGACCCACTCTTGAAAATGTTTCGTTGTTGTTGATATCATTACTGGGTAAAGGTTTGATTTATAATCCCCACTCTCTTGAAAAGAAATCATGCATTATTTATGCAATCCCTTTCCAGTTTTGAAGGAAAACTTATTATCAATCATTTGGATAATGAATTGGTGTCCACTTAATCAACACAAAATACAAGGAATTTACAGCTTAAGTAGAATTCCAGTGCAAAGTGAAGCTTAATTGAGTTGGTGAGTTAATTGAGAAGGGTTAGTAAACCACTCGGAATATCACGACACTCTTAGTACTCATTTTACCTCCGGGACTACTTTTTTACTGTATTACTACTCATTTTAGGCATCAAAATCATTTAAGTCTTTCTGGTGGACAATCTGCTGCAGGTAGTGTTCTAGCCTAGTTTTCTGTAAATGGACACAGTCTGATTCAACTTTCAAAAAATTGTGTCAATTTTTTCTTTCATGGCACAGCGATGAACATAATTTACAAATATTCTCATGGTACCGTTTGTTTATATCATGGGCTTTCAAGAGATTTCAATTTCAGATCAATATTTCTAGAGTCTATCATGACCCTGCATTTTATGCCTTTTCCCATAAAAGGCCATACATGCTGATTCAAATTACTAAAATCATTTGTTGCCATGGGGATCCGATAGTATGTATGACTTGCTGAATGTGATTTATGTTAGTCTAATGTCACGAGAAATATGTAAATTAATATATGTTTTGTGCTGTGCCATAATTGAATATATATTATTTCAGTTAAGAAAGCAGTAAAAACTTCAGATGAGATATCACAGAGACTAACTTGAGAACAGAACGCCATTTGAAAATATAGGTGAGTATGATTTTCAAATCTGACTATTTTAGGCATTGAAAGATGTCATTGTGATCAACTCATCAAAGTTAACTGTTTTCTCAATTTGATTAATATCATCCTTGTCCTAATAGCAGGGATACAGACAACACATTTTGACACATTCCATATGATCAGATTAAGAAATGTAACAATTACAGTGAGGCCAGATGTGTTAAATTTGGTTGTTTGTGATTGTGAATGAGGATTTATTTGATTGTCCATATCGTAGTAGAATAACACTACATTGACCACAACTTGGCCAAATCTTCATGTAGCTATGAAGATTGAATGCTCAAATAAAGAAATAGTGATATCATGTCGTTGATCCCTGCTTTAGAATGAAGGAACTACATGTACTCATACAACATATATGCCTACTTGTTGGGAGGTCCTCTCACTGGACATTTGACATGTATTTGAATCAAGTAAAGGGGATGTGGGTGCTGACGCTGATGTAATTATAAGAAGTGGGTTAGTCTCGGCTATTTCAACAGAGCCGTTCGTCTTCGCCTGCAATAAAATAGCACACATGCATGCATTTTTTGTGGCCTGTTCCTTGAAAATATTACAATTACAATTCTGTACTGGTTTTGCACCATACAGTAACATATAAATGTGACAGATTGTATTGGCTTCTTGATGTCATAACAATGACATTTTGGTAATTAGAACCGCAACTCCAAACAATCTCACATTTTACTCTTAATTCAATAATCATGTTTATTCCACAGCCTTTTCAATTTGATATATATTTATATCAACATATCAAAATTATATGTTTTCATGTGAATTGTATTGAATTTGATTAATCTTTGATTTTCCCTTTTGTAAATTAAGTGAATATATATCAGTTACCAAACATAAAACATATATTTGGATGATTCAAGTTTTGTATCAGTAACCTTTTGAACAGATTGTTTGTTTCAAGTTCATCGTCAAAATAACAAATGGTATATGTTGCCTTAGAGAATAAATAATGGTTTTATAATTGAGTATGTAATTTCTCAGGAACCATGGTATGGTTTGAAATTATGAATTAGTTTTAGGAAATATGCAAGGCTAGAGAAATGCTATAAAACACCAAAACAGCTTATTAGATAAATCAGATTAAAAACCTGTTCCCTTTCTTTTATTCTGACTTTAACTTGCAGCAATGGAGCCATTTGGGAATAAAAAGAACAAATTCTATTAACATGTCTTTGATTGATCTTTCATTAATGCATTGTTTGTCTCGACTGACAAATCAACAATTGCTTGAAAAATCGAGTTACGATGCAATATGCAATTTGATATTACTGATTACATTTATTCATTCCCAACTAAAATGTATGCATGTACAAGACTAAGTTACACTTTAATACGGGTATATAAGTCTCCATCAAGTAAGCTAAAATATTAATGGGTCAATTTGATAGCTTGTATAAGAATTCCCTCATTCCAAATATTAGTTTAGTTGGTAATGTTTAATAGGCATTAAGGTCAAGGTGCATGATGGGAAATTTTCTGCATTCCTCAATTGAGTCACATGTTATTTTTCAAACATGAATAACTCCTTCCCCACATTGTCTACATCTTCCAAGATTTCACAAATAGTGCACTTCTGTGCCTAGAAAAGCCTTGTGGGAAGGTTTGTTTTGTAAAATGTATAAAAAATGAGAAAATTCAGTAAAAAAAATTTCTGAAAATTTTCTGATTTTTTTCACTGAATTTTCTTGTTTTTTATACACTTTATCAAAACATTCTTCTCACAAGTCCTTTCTAGGCACATAAGTGCACTCTTTGTGCAAAACTGGAAGATATAGACAATGAAGGGAAGGAGTGATTCTTGTTTGAAAAATAACATGTGACTCAATTGAGGAATGCAGAAAATTTCCCATCATGCACCCTGACCTTAATGTAAAATCACATAGATTAGTTAGTATCTGGTAAGGAGTACTGCAATTTGTGAACTTAATTGTAATTAATTATTTATATTTTGACAAATGTATTGAACAATGTTGGATTTACAATAGACCAAGTGTTATCTGGCTAATTAAGTTCATGTGTAGGAATACATGTATGTGCTGAGCATTAGCAAAATGATTCAAATATCAAGTAGTCGAGCAAATGAGGCCAAGTTTAGTGTGTGAAATATTGAAATGACCAAAAGTTCAACTACTAATGAAATATTCAGGAAAGTGACCAAAAAGGCAGATTTTGAAATTTGACCTTTTTTGTCACACCATTTTTTATATCCAGCATATTTGTATTACTTTAAGCCTTCATTCTTCCTAGCTCAGGAATGTAGCATGTAATATCAGCAATGAGGTATTTACGCTTGTTGAAAAATTTTAATGGCTTCAAAATTTGAGTCCCATGTTTATTTGCAAGTCATTCCATACATGGTCTACATCTTTTACTTTAGCACAAAGAGTATGTTAATGTACCGAGGTTGTTATTTGAGGTTTAGTCATTTTATACCATATATGTAGGTATTAAGAAGAATCAATGACCTACTTTTTTTAAAGTACAACAATTTACAGTAGGTCATTGGATCTATTTTTTATGTCAAGAATATTGATTAAAAAATTCTGTAACTTGTGCAGCAAACATCTGCAAGGATGTAAGATCCTTAAAGTGTGCGCCAAAGTTTAAAACTGCGCAGGCGCACCGCTCTCGCTAAACTATATAAAGAGATTACCAGGTACACGATTCAGAGGTAAGCCAGGAAGGCGAACGATCTTCGTCTCGTGATGATTTCCCATATAATCGTAACCAGGGAAGTTTCACCATTGAAATTGAAAATTACTATTAGATATACTTTGTAGATGTTATTTATGAAGCTATTTAGTGTTTGCATCAATCAAATGGCTCATTTTGAACATATAAAAAGTATTTGTGTTTTGTTTCCCAGGGAATTGTATTGTATGTAGTACACACATAAATAGTGTACATTATACTTGAATAGCCTGGTTTACATAATATTGAAGGGCATGCTGATTACATGCACACGAGTACATGAATGAAGGCCTAATATTGATATACGTAGCTTGCATACCTAAATAAAAAAATAAACTCTTCTAATCCCCTAATGTAAACACGGCGGTATACGTAGCCCGATTTATCGGGGACTTTAAAGCTGACACTCTTACCTTTCAAATTGTATATATTGCAACCTTAGGACAAATTGTTTCATTTTCTTCATTAAAAGGCAGACCTTGAAGGATCTGGTTTGCTCAACAATAATGCCATTATGGTATCAATATCTCACAAGGTTAGATTATCAGAATAAGGCTCAGCTGAACAGAAAGTGTTCAAGTGCGTTAAATCAATCAGAAAAGATCAAAAGAGTATTTTTACTCTACAATTTAATTTTAATTGTATATAGTACAAATATATCTGGAAAAAATTAAGGGTACAAACAGCATATTTTTGTCTCATTCAATATTACTCACAAAAGAAAGCTGAGATACCCGTTTTTATCATAAAGTATTTAAGATTCAGATTAAGTCAAAGACTGATTGTAAATCAAAAATACCTGTATACCAAAGGAACCAAATTAAAAAAAACATACAAAATTAGGTCCATTGAATTCACGTTTTACAGTATCATATCTTGACTGATTATCACATTTTTCTGTCGATTGTTTTAGATTCAATGGTAATTCACCTTCCCCGCGGACTTCCTCTTGGAATTGGAATATCATTCCTTTTATTTCCAGTCGAGAAATGTATAGTATTAGAGCACGCTGCCCAACATTATTGAACTTGATATGATTGATGTCGATTTCTATTACGCTACATTGTCTCATAAATCTTACAAAAAGAAAGAGTAACATCAATCATATAGAACTGAAACTTGTATGGAATAATAAACCAGACAAATTGACTCCTGAGAATTCACTGTCGTTTGTGTGTTTGTAGATGATAGTCACTGAAATGATTTTCTTCAAAGACAACAAAATCAAATCATGTGTGGGGTTAAAAATATTTTTATTTATTTGATTTTTTTATGATTTAAACATTTAGAAATCAGACTGGCGAAATTATCAATTTTGTTTTTGATTAAAAGTTACTACATAGTCATTGAACAAATTATGTGATGATAAGTTTAAGATATGGAGTATATCTCTCGTGAAATATGACAACTTATTTCAATAACAAGATATCAATATTTCCCTTCAGATATATTATACTCCATAGCCAGAACCTCCAATAAGATAACCCAATAATATATTACTTGCGCATGTAAATGATGACTTTTTCAGATACTGGAATATATTTCAGAAATAAAAGAACAATAAGAAAGGTTTATCACAATGTTTGTATAATCCCATCTTTGTCACCCACAGTTTAAAACACATTGAATCTTTGCTAATAGCAACTGGGGATTAACTTGATCTTTGTTTGTATAGGAAGGATAGAAATCCACCCGTCTAAAAGGCCACTTTAATTTCCAGATGATTATTTAGCTCAAATACATTGATTTTATAGCACGGAAGTACTTCTTCAAATCAATTCTCTTAGAATTGTCGTAACATTGACATATTGATGATGCTCTGTCTACCCTTGGGCTTTTTATTAATCATTTTTCTTTTCTCAGATCAAAATGTTTACTTATTCTTGATTGCTGGGTTTCAACAGCACTTGCGAAATCAACAAACCCTACTCGTCAAAAAGTTGGCTCGATGTTATAAGTTTCCCTCGAGTTTTTATTAATCAGTTACTTACTCAGTCATGCCAAAAAAGCCTCATTTCTGGGCAAGCCTTAACTTGATTTATCACACAGATATCAGAGAAAATTGATTCGTGCCTATGGGAGATTAACGAAGTACCCTTTTGAAAATACCACCCTCTACGCCTTTCTTTCTAATTCTTAAATTGATTTTTCAGGAATTACGTCTTTCATGATATTCTATATCATTCTTTGCTTATCCATCTCTACACAGTGTACATGCAATGTTTGTTGCGTGTACAACTACAGTTATTATGACTGAATTTGTTTTCTGAAACATCTACTAAGGATAAATCTAGTGTCACGAATCTACTACTTCAGAATATTGATTCACTTTAATTTCACTCCAGTACAGTTTAGTTCATAATACTCTTGGGTGTATTTACCTTACCTCATTACCACATCTCACAATTTAAAGATAGTGAGATTATTGACAAACAGAATGCCTATATTATTAAAAAGGCTAAAACATAATTTAAAATGAAACTGATGAATATCTTTAATAGATTGTTATTTATTAAGATACTTAAATTCTAAGAGAATAATATATTTCTAGACTTTATTTAGATGTAAATGAGAAAAGACATTTCTCCTGGTATATACCTGTCTTGACTGTTTAAAGGATGCCTTGTCTTGATCTTTGTTCTTTAAGCAGACATTGTTTGTGCTCCGCAGGGCTCTGGCTGCTGCTTCTGCCTCCCTCCTGCGTTTAATATAGCTCCTGCAAAGTCATTTTAATATATCCTGCAAAGTCATTTTAATATAGCTCCTGCAAAGTCATTTTAATATAGCTCCTGCAAAGTCATTTCAGACCCAGTGTTTACAATGCAAAATTATTAAAAGTTCTTAAGCATATAGCAATAGTTGGACTTTAATACGTTAATGAATATGAAACGAATATGAATAATTTGGTCATAAGCCAAATCTTAAAATGAATTGAATTTCTTTACATTTTCCAAGATGAAGAATTTTTTGCATATTTTATACAGATAAGATACATGTTTTGCTTACTTGATTCTCAGCAGCCCTGCCAGTATGAAAAAGACACCAATCACCACTGAACATGTTACTATCACCATCACCTGAGTGCGCCCTAGCTGCTTGTCACCTTAACAACACAAACAAACAAATGATCACCAGGCATTGGTCAGTCCAAAAGTACTGTTTTGTACTATCTCAGGGTTTGCACATTTCTTTAACAGGCCAATGTTTTGTTTAAAAACTTTCATGGTTTGTTCTCATTTAGTTCAATTCTTGTGCTGATAAAGTGTTTGGATGTTCATGGTCAGTCATGCATTTACTTTGCTTAGATAAGATGCATTGAAATGTGATACCAGAACTATTCAAATTGAGATGTGATGCCAGAACTATTCAAATTGAGATGTGATGCCAGTACTATTCAAATTGAGATGTTATACCAAAAGGGTCTATTCAAATTGAGATGTTATACCAAAAGGTTCTATTCAAATTGAAATGTGATGTCAGTAGGGTCTATTCAAATTAAGATGTGATGCCTTACATAGCAGGCCAAGTTTCCTGGAATATTTTTTAACTGGACATTTGAGAACATTCATTTAGCATTAAATCCTCATGAGCAACACTCTTTAGTTTTTGACTCATTTTTCTATAAAGACCCATTCAATAAAGCAAAACTGACCAATTGCATATGATATAATGGCGAGTATAACATTTCTTGGTCGTTCCCCTGTACCTGATACTATTTAACCAATGATAAAAGATAAATTCCATATTTCCATGCACACTAACTGTATCAAAAATGCAGATTATGTTCTCATGCAATATTCTCAGTATGTAGACAACTTATAAATTAATTAACATTATAGTATGGGATATGAATTGATTTTTTGTTGTGTGAAGGTCCAAGACTCTGACTTGAATTTTATGAATTCAAAAATGTTTAAACACATACTTCATACTCGTCATTGTATACTCACTTGGAAGTTGGAACAACTCAGTTTGCTTAAAAAATGTTTAACTCTCATCTGCTGAGATTTGTATTTTATGTTGAGTAGAATTCAATGCTGTTTTTCTGATAGTGTTACATTTTGTGGCCCATCAATCCAAAGGAAGCAGGTTGATAAATTATTTATACTCAAAGAGAAATCTTGCTCTTAGTATGAATTCTTATTGTTTGTGCTGTGTTACTTTTGGTTGATAGTTTTTTATTATCCATTATTTGTAATATACATATAGGGTGTTCAATAAGTACTGATAAAAATGTGATTTTTGTTTGCTTATATTTCATTTCCTATTGTTTATTATTCAGCAATGTACTGTAAAACTACTCGAAAGTGGGAGTGGCCAAAGTAAGGTTTACTTTTTGGTGGTGTTTGACATAGGTATTAAACTAATAGCAGAAGAAAATCATAAGATAAGATATTGTACATGATATACTTTTTTCACATTTAACCTTAAGAATAAAACTTTAAATTTTAAAAATGCACATGTAACTTTACAGTAACATCAATGAAACCATATAAAGGTTAACTTGAATTTGATCTGAATTTGTAAAATATGAATTAACTAGTTGCATAAAACATGCTGTAAACGTTTGATTAACTATGGGAACAACTTTTTTTGAAAAGTATCAATATATTGAATACGATTGGGTAACATCTCATATGAGTCAGACTTATTGGCATATGCCAAAATATCTTGATTTGCTATTCCTATACAGTATATATTAAGGATCCAGTTGATCATATTATTAATATTTGTTACATGCATTTTGTTTGTATTTTGTGTATTTAACATGTTACCCTTTGTGCTTTCTGATTTGTCTTCCACCAGAAACTGATAAAATAATTCTGTGGTCAAATGTCTTATCAAATTCTCTTTCTGTTTGCCTCAATATATTACAACATCTTAGCCCTATCGGAATATTGGCCATATTTTATCTCTCACGCAAAGACGTTTTATCGATCACTGGAAATTAGGCAAAATGTCTTTTGAACCGCAATATGATTTATTGGAAAACAAATTACTCAGGCTTAAAATAAGTATTGATCGATCATAAAAGTTGCTCATCATAAACCGTTTCCATAATGAAGCTGTATCACTGATCACATCTTACATAATTATCAGTTAAATTACAAATGAAAATAGTGAATTCTGTTTATCAGATGGACTTATGCCTGTGAATAAGTCTATTGATTATTTAAGGAATATGGACCGAAGAGCAGGGGTAATATTGTCGAATACACCTCGCAGGGCTAGGCACAAATATTTTCTGTATTCGGAACGACCAAATGGAGTGAGGCGTTCGAAAGCTTTTGTGCCTAGCCCTAAGGGGGGTGTTCGACGATATTACCCCTGCTCTGAGGTCTATACAGTATTATGATTCAAACATGAAAACTCACCAAAATGTTTCGAATATACATTACTGGTCTGCCATTGCTACAGGCTGCCATTATGACGTCACACATTACTCGTATTACCAGGGGTATTGTTCATGAATATACCCCAAGAGAATTTTTAACTTCTTTCACAGTTTATAGAAGGCGTGAACACAGTCATGTTCGAATAATAGATATTCACTTCAGGATAGCTATCACAAATTAAAAGTATATCAAAAGAATATTTTGAATAAATGGTCCAAATAGCTAGCAAAAAAGGCATAAATGTTGCTTTTTCCTTGATTGGTTCTAATTTTGCCCTAAAGTGCAGTTAAGCATGAGTTATTTCAGTTCATGTATCTGTCATTAGAGCATTCCACAATAGTTCACAAGCAAACTAGCAGCATTGATTAATAAGGCAAAAATGATGTTGAGTTAGTACTGCAATGATGTTGAGTTAGTACTGCATACCGTACTATGATGCCATGGTAATACATTACATTATCGTATGATCTGTAAAATGAAACCTTCTGATTGGTCAGTTCTTGTGCTGTCCCAATCTGTATTGCTACTGAGATTGTTCGCATTGATCATCTCCATTGCAATACAGAAAATATTGGTACGGAGGATACATTCTCAGTAGCGATACAGAGGATCACACGATAAAAACGTGTGCAATACAGGATATATTCTGTCTCGATAATCTGTATTGGCACTCGACTTCGTCTCGTTCAAATACAGAATTTCTCGAGCAGAATATATCCTGTATTGCACTTCAAATCATTCAATAACTTATATTACTGCCTTGAGGCTACAGGTTACTCTCCAAGTTTTTTGTTTCAAGTTTTGCATAGGGTGTTGATATGGTATGGCCCTAGTAATTCTGTAACTGACAAGGATTCTGTAACTGACATTGGAAAGCTCATCTTGTGTCCTTTATCTTTTTACTGTTGTAACATAATTAAATCAAAACTTTAGGAATTTAAAATTGAGTATAACACATAGAACTTTTAATAATAAATGATGAAATGAAGTGGAACTTATCAATTGGCAATCGTTGACTTGGGTTTATACTCCCCTCCAAATGTTTGGCAACCCTAACTTCCCCATTTGACTATGTGTTAAATCTTTTGAAGGAAGTGTAGACGAAATCAAAATGTTCCATGGTTGTTTTTTTACCTTCCAACTACTGACTGGTCGGTCTTTTATAGTTTCTTTTCAAACCCTGCTCTGAGGCTACCTGTGGTCAGTGTTCTGTGGTGGTCGGAGGGGTCTGTCTTTTCCATACACCCCACTTTTAGTGCATAATGAATCATTATGGTTCTCAAAAAGTGAATGGTGCTTGTTACTGACTTCATCTGTTTATTTTTGTCTTTCTGCCAGGAAAAGCAGTGAATTCATGTCTCGACCAAAGCCTCTTTGCTTGATTAAGATTCCTACGCCAGCTCTAAAGACTTACCATTAATATTTCATTATTTATTGACGTGTTTGCCATGGTATACCTTTCGGCCTTGTAATAAGCAAGTTTCTTTTACCAAACCAATATTAAGGTTGATGCCCTCTGCATTTTGCAAAGATATAAAACCAATCCCTATATCTCAATAATGAGAGTCAAACATGTTTCAAACATGGTTACAGTATACCAGAGCATTTCTCAGATGACACAATGACATATAGAATGTATTGAACATGTTGGTTATTCCTTTGGTGGATTAACTGATTAGGTTTGTGTACTTATCAGACTGTGATCTGAGAATTGATAGAAACAGATTCTTGGCTTTTCTATTAATTAGCATATTGAAAGTCATTATCATTGGAGAAGAAGAAGTGATCAAACAAGAATCTTTGAAATTGATTGATGATGTGACAAAAGCGATGCAGCATGATCAGCAAGATTCATCTGTCACAGTGAAGCATATAAAATTAGCAAAATTAGCAAAATACCTAATGAAGAGCAAATTGCAGATGAACAAATTTTTTTGCCGAATCTTTTACTGAATAGATATCCTGATTTTTGATTTGCCCCGAACCCAGCATTACCAGTTGGTTTACATGTGAATGACGATTTTCAAAAATTCATCAAAATCATCAATTTTATTTTATCATCACACTTATGGAGGGGAGTGTAACTAGATAATAGATATGTTTGATATTATCGGCATAACAACAAAATATTTTTTTCTTTACATATATCAGCGACCATTTGAAACATAAAGGGGTTAGATATTCATAAATTCTCATAAATTATGTCGAAAATCTTTCTGGATATATCTCTTCAAAAATAATTGTAATTTTATCGTCATAGCATCTGGTTCCAATATGTAGATTACATTATTGTCTGGTTATGAATTCTGTGATAAACCATTGGAGGAATGCTATTCTAAGTTCAATTGAAATGCCACAGATAAATCTACGATGGAACCAGATGGTCATATATCACAATAAACCAGAAAACAGAATGGAATCCTGCTCCAACCACCCATTGACCCACAAAGTAAATCTTCATTCAAAACATTTTACAAGTTTAAGGAATCACAGAGCTCATATGCAGAGTCAAGTTATACCAAAAACAATTAAGCCTACAGAACATGAATTGTTGAACAAGATCTTGAGAACATACCAGAACCCTAAGTGTTATAATGAAAAACCAAAACTGAGATGAACTCCTTGTAGACATGCTTCAAGCAGAGTTTTGAGAAAACTTGGAAGTTGACATTCTGAATATCCATGAACAACATAATAAAGTAAAGATCGAGGTCATTTATATCTAAAAGACAGAATATAAGGCATGTTGGCTTTCTTACAGGATCAAATGTCATGGTTATAATTCCACCAATCACGACAGTATGCTTTCAAAATTCATGCAGATTCAACAACTCTTGATGTGGGTTGATTTATCATTTTTTATCATTACTTCATGTTTTTTATTGATATCTTATAAATCACATTGATATAACCTGCTAATTTTTTTTATTTAAAACTATTTCATTTAAATATGAGTCTCTATTGTACTTATATTCAGCATTTTGCATGTCAGGACTTTGCTCACATGTGCATGTATCATCTTTCCATTTGTAGCAAGGTATTTCTGTCTGCATGGTACCTTGGTTGCATTGTAAAGTATGCAGAATTAATAATGGTGAATGATTGCTTACATATTTTAAAGATTGGAATGCTGCAGGTAGCAACCATATCAGCATCTTCACTATTATTATATAATGTAGGCGTGCTTGAATTTGATGGATTACTTCATTAAGTAATCACTACAGCGTTCTCATCAAAATATTCTTATCAGTGCACATACTGAAGGCAAAAACTGAACTACCCAAAATAATGTTTAAAATTAATGTACATGTAGTATATACTCTATTTGCTTGCATTGCTGTTAGTGTAAAATTAGCATTTAAATCAGTTTTCCAGCAATAGTTTTTTCTCTTTTCAGTTCCAATTAATTTGGACATTTCTGGTTCTAAAGTTTCAATAACTTCCATTTTTGAAAAATCAGATTGTTAGGAAAACACTGGCATGCCTTTTGAAAATATTTTTTTGAATAAATATGCAAACAATACTCATGTTTAGACCTCCAATTCATCGTCATGGATCGCCAATCAGTACATTTATTAATAATTAATATATTGATTATTACATTTTTTATTGTTAATGTGAAAATAATGATGCTAGATACACCACAGTATAGGGTGCATTTATTTCTAGATACAAACATGGCCAGTCTTTTGCACCACTATAAGGAATAGGTGATCCATCTAGAGGATGTTTCCCAATGTTTACAGATGCCATTGTGACTTAACAAACTGGAATCATTTCTCATTAGATTTGATCTCAGTATATTTATCTGAGAACATGAACAGTGATACCTGCCATTTCTATAATTTTCAAATTTCTTCAACACATACACAGGATAATTGTAACCATAACTTTACACACCCCTAACACATGCATGCTTGTGATCATATCAAGCAAATCAATCTACTGGCATACACCCATGTACAATAAAAAGATTAGCAGTGGCAAAGAATTACATCTCATCACGGAGCTGTTCACTTCTGTGTTCCTCCAATCATTTATATATGTTTTTTGGGTATATGCACCAGACTGTAACATTGTTATTAAGGAGGATATCCTCCAAGCATGTGACAAAGTAGTCTAACTACAAGACCCTGTGACCTCCCCCTCTACTTGACTACACACCTCACACTTGTTGGGATGAGTAGTGAGAGGGGGGGGGGGGGGTCACAAGTGCCTGTAGCTACACTAGTGACAAAGAAGCTGGTGTTACATAAAATGAGAAAGCAGTCACATCTAGAATGTGTAAATTAACCTATGTAGTATGGGACATGGTGCGGAGGTGCTGAAATAACCACCAGTGTTCAGCTGTTATATACATGAGTAATATTTTTCAATATACCTTTATCAAGGATGTTAGATAAATAAGTAATATTACAGTAAAACCCTTTGAAGTGAACACCTGATGTCAGTTTGTATACACCTATCTAGTATAAGAATATAGCAATGGTTTCTTTCCCAAATTTATTCCATGTATTGAAGAGATGTGTCAACAAACTTCAAAATGTAAACACTTCAATGTATTGAGAACACCAAAATGTGAACACTTCAATGTATTGCGAACACCTCAATTTGTTCTCACTAGCATAGGTTTTACTGTACACTGAACGACCTCCCCAAGTTATTTACTCAACAGGGTAAATTAAAAATTTCAGTCGTTCAATTAGCCCAAATTTTTTCATTATTTCAATCACATGCCACCTTGTTAAAATATATTTTCACCCTGTAGATGCCAGTAGATAGTGACCAGTTTCACCACTAGGTGGCAAATTGAAAATTAAAATTTCAAAGTTGATAAACAATTATCAAAACCACATTACTAGATGTAATTTTATATGTTGATTTCAAATATGTTATCACTTTGACCAACCTTTTAATATCACAGATATGAAAATCAATTGCTCTGATCCTGGGGGAATCACTGCTTTATATTACTTACAGTGTAGTACCCTTGTGGTATATTGAAATGTATATATGACTGTCACTAGAATATTATACCTCTATCATCATAAAATTTTCAAATTCTGTAAAGGAATATTTGAATCATTTCAAGATGAAAGTTGTACAAGTGATATCAATACTAAACTAATCTACCATCAAAACTACAAAGGAAACTGTCTATCTTACAAACTATATGATAATCAAAAAGAGAGTAGAGTTTGAATTAAGTAAAATTCAATTTTTATTGCAGACTGACTCACCTGTAGCAACTATAGAGCTGTTGGTAGTCGTTTCCATTGCGCTTCCAGAGGTCACCGGTAAGCAATTACTTTTAGTTGTATTATCAACATCATATAAAACTACGGAATTATTCTTAAGTGTATTGACTTTATCAGCTGTTAATTTTCCATTGATTTCCCTGCTGGACTTAATGGTCATTTTTAGCTCTATTTCACTTCCATTTTGCACAGAGCGTATACTCCGCACCACTTTTTGTAATGTATAACATAGTTGGTGTTGCGTTGCTATGATCTCTAACTTCTCTAAGGCCTCGATAATAGCCACAAGATGTGTCTCCTGATCCAGCGTATAATCCAATAAGTCCACTGATCTCTCTGCTTTACCCGTTCTTAGCTCATTGTCCTTGCCATCATCATCATGCTGCCTTGTTTCATTCAAATTACCTCCAACAGTGTTATCCTGGCTTCGTGTCTCCACTGAGGTGGGAATGCCATAGACAGTTACCATAGCAACTAGCCAGTATCTCCACCCAATCTCCATATTAATCACTGATCAGTCCATCAGTTACATCTCCTGCAAGCAAATTGGTAGATAATTAAACTCAACTTTCACGATCAAAATCACTAATGTCACTTCCTCGTGTGACGATTATTGGTAATTGTGGTACTCTTGTTACTTAACGCATGCATGTATTCCTATCCCGCAATTAGATTCTTCAAGTACATCAGTTTCTCTATTGTTTTTACTGTACCAATGAAGACGAGCAATCCCTTATCCCTTATAGTCATATCTTATGCATTTTATGGTGGAAGAAAGACCCGTGAACCTCTCATTGAAGGAGTGCCTAATACCCAATCATTGGATGACAGCTCAATAGATAAATTGGAATTGTGCAAGATGTGAACTTCTAAGTGAAACATTCTGAATTTCTTTATCAACAAGCAATGTTCTCTTGCTTGAACCAGAGATCTGAAACCCAAGAAAAAAAGTAACTCCAGAATCTCTAACTATTTCAACAACTATTTTCCATTTAATTTATAATTATTTGTAATTGTTTGTTCATTCTCAATATATTCTCTCACCTAACATGTCTTTCGTTCTCCCATTGCTATTGAGTTCTCCCATTGCTATTGAAATGATTCATGGGAGAAATGGTTATGACGTACATGGGCAGTTTAATGTTTCCATTTTGTTTGATATTACTTGTGCATTATCACCTCTTCAATGGTCAATTAAGGTCCTTCAATCTCTGGCAGAGAACTGTTTTGTGATAAGGTATTGAAGTATTTATAGGAACTGCCACATTTCTTTCCTACTAGACCTATACTCCCCATGTCTTTTATATGGGAGAGGAGGGATGACCAATGAAAACCACATTTAATACATCGTATTGATCGCATTCTACCAATCAAAGATTTGAAAGCTATTAAGTATCTTATAAGTATGTCCTCGGTGGGATGATTGGAATATACTCAATTTCACTTATGCTAGTCATTAGCATTATGGAAATTTTAGAAAATGTTTCACCTTGGATGACCACATGAAGAAGATCTGGATCTACTCTTTTGTGATTTTGGATCAATATTTTATAGAACATTTATATAGCACTAGAGTAATTCAAACATTTGATGATATATTTTGAAGAAGTCTCAGAGCATCTACCTTTCTTGCGTTCAATCAGTCAAGTCAATTAATCCCCGTGCTCGTGTCTATTAAGCCTACTACAATTAGATTTAATTCTCATATATTTCTTCCTCATTGGAAACTATCTGATTTGTTATTCTGATTGATCTCAGGAATTGATTCATCAATCGATTATATTCCCCATATATCAATACTCAATATCAAGTGCCATCAATGTTGTATGTTTTATAGTCCATTGATATATTGGTAAATGTCATGAACTGAATGAAGTCTCATCTTAAGAATCTAAAATAAAAAAAAAGTTTAATGCAATTGCCTGATTTTCTCAAAACTGACCTTCAGAAAACGATATGAGGGAAGCCATCTCATCGTTCAAGATTGGTCCTTCACTGCTTTCATAGCAGCATAGCTCATGTAATGTAAGAAAAAAATGTAATGCAATGAATTATCCTTGGGCCAAGGATGAGCCATCTGTCCATCTGTCTGTATTTGTGTCTGAGTTGTAACTCAAATACTAGTCATCAGATTTTCTGTGTTATAAATCACAGTTACATGTTATTTAAAAAACATTTGTTTTGAAAAATTGGAACTAACTTATTGAGAAGTCATTTAAAAATATTTGAATCTAGATTTTCTCTAATTTTTCTTGATTACGCCAGGTCTATAAGTACAATGTGTTAAAGAATTCGGAACCACCCTCATCACTTACGTTTGAAAGCTTCCAACTATAATTTGACATGTCTTTGTCATGTTTCATCATGATTGTTGCTTAATGAAAACCAATCCCCATTTCCCAAACCTGATTATTCAACTGGAACAGCGTTGATCTTTTCAAGACATCCCTAAAGGAATCTAATCTTCAACAATGATTGGAGAATCTTCAGAGACTCCAACCAATCTAAAGTCATATTATTTATCACTCCCAAAAGATATATTCTGCTTGTTTAGTTTACATAAGGAAGCCAAATAGCATTGTCTGGTATGATAACACTTGGGTATTTAAGTCAAAGCAATCAAGATTTAGGATTATACATGTACATCAAGCCTTTGTAAACATGAGAGTATATTTCCTGAATGATAAGTATTTTATATACTGTATAAGGGCAAACAACCTGAATTGTGTTCTTTTTTATATGCCATTTAAGGGTATACAACCGGAATGGTGTTTTTTATATACCATATAAGGGTATATAGCCTGAATGGTGTTTTTTATATATCATTCGTATAAGGGTATATAGCCTGAATGGTGTTTTTCATATACCATATTTAGCCTTCGGCCTTCGGTCTGTCGTAATATAACCCTCGCAAGCTCGGGCTATATTGGTGACAGACCTTAGGCATATATTCAATGATAGGGACATAACTGTTGTATTACATTCTTTTATATCATGGCTAAGTTATATCAATGACGCCACGTGTCTGTGTGCGAGTGAAATTAGGAAGAAATGAAACATGACGTCCCGATGATGTCATAAGATTGTCATGGTAAAAGGTTTGGCGGCTATACAGGAATATATAGCCGACCTTCAGCTCCATTGTCTTCAATACAAATGCTTCGTTGGGTATGTAATACAAGCGTATATAGCCCCCGGGGAGTTTACTTTGTACAAAATTCAGCGGGGGTCCTAGGCTGAACCATTATATCAATAAATTCCCATACCAATTTGTCAAATTTCGATGTGTTCCCATACCAACCAATATAATGCCCGAAAGCCATACCAAACATCCAAATATAAGACCAATGCCATACCAAATGTCTAATATAGGACCAATGCCATACCAATGCTATGACTGGTCCAAAGTAGAATATTTCCCGAAAAAAGTTAATATTTAAACTGAAAAGGTCCCAAGAAAAAAAGCAATCTTTAAGGAAAATATTCCAAAGCAACCTCAAGTTAAGGATATATAGACTGATGCTAAACCACAGGTGTGAGGTAACGTATTTCCCATGACCATTCTCATACCAGAAAGTCGAAAAATCCTACCATTGCCATACCTCAAAAGTCATGATGTGTGAGCATTCATATACCCCAAGTGCGCCGAGGATCCCTGTCAAGGTTTATATTCAGTGAACCCCCGGGATATAGCCTAAATGATGGGTAGGATTTAAGGCATTTAAATGAAATGTCTAGTATGGTAGTCGTGAGTTATACTATGAGATGTACCATTTAAAAGATTTGGAAGAATATCTAGAGACTCAAACAATGGCAAGATCATTTTTGGAAAAACTTGTAAGCATCTTCACTTTCCAAGAAGGAACTTCTTTAACATGTTAATTCAATATACACACTTGTGATCAGGAATGAAATATAAGTGGTTACTACTAGAGAAAGGTGGATAAACGAATAAGTAAAAAATAATGATAAATACATGTACCTGACTTCAAAATTATATTTGAATCCAAATTTTTAAGTTGGACAACATCGAATCAGATTTCAATAAAGTGTTTTATGCATTACACAGGGCCTTTAAGTAGAGAAACTGCTTTAGGTATAACAATGGTAAACTGCTTTAAGGCCTCCTCACACATGTATAAGGGCAGTCTTGCAGATTGAATAAATTGTCAATTCTGGCAATTGGGAACATAAACATGCAAACCGGGGTGCTACTTTGCGAATGCTTTCGAAGCCTTTCGAAAGGGTACTTCCTGATATGAACACTCCAATGATTTACAATGTAATATACTAATGGGAATGAATTTTACTTGAGACCTATTCGCCATGCCAGTACAATCAAGTTGATGTCAGGGTTTTTTCATTTATATGTGAGCGACGCCTTTAATTAGGCATTATGATGGGCTTTTAGAAGAGAAACTGCTTTAGTCATTGCAATAGACTAAAGAAATACCGTGAGGCATTACAATGGACCTTTGCTTTGGACATTACAGTAATTGACCTTTAAGAAGGGAAACCATTTTTTAAGATGCCTCGTCTTAATAAATCAAATAAGTGAGGGCAAGGTCATTGGAAGAATATGAAACACTGCTGTTGATTATAATGTTCTCGTAAATTACATGTACGTTCAATCACACTCTATTGACAACCTATACAGAGCTACCTGACAAAATGTTGTTGAATAAAATGTTAAAGTCACCACACTTTGAAGTTATAATCATAGAAGAATGTAAAAAATGAAAATTATTAAAACATTCATGATGGCCATCCTCTTATTAAACAATTGAAATCATGGACTTCAATTTCTTCAAGAAGATGTAATGTGAAATTGACATGAGATGGATTTATCATTTGAATACAGGCTGGTATGTCTGCTCTCATCATTATGTTCCACTTTAATTACATTAGCTATATTGATAGCAAGGACAAGACCATACTCTGACCACCTACTTCACACCCTCAAGTGAATTTCTAATCATTATCCCACGGAACGAAGTTTGAGGGGGATATACGTAAAAAAGCCATCCGTCTGTCTGTCCATTCCATTAACAGAATGTAATCTTTGATAACTCAAAAACCAGTGAATTGATTCGGCTCAAATCTCATATGCTGATGCCCAGAGACATGAGAGCTCAACTCGAAAAGACATTTTCAAAATGGCTTCCAAATTTCAAAATGGGCACCACTTTTCATAAAAAATGTAATCTTTGATAACTCAAGTACCAGTGGGCGGATTTGGTTCAAATTGTAAATGCTGATGGCTTTAGATAAAGGAGCTTTGCTTGGGAAGTAATTTCCAAGATGGTACCTGAATTTCAAAATGGCTGCCATAAAAAACATAATATTGTATTAGATAACTCAAATACCAGTTGATGGATTTGGTTCAAACTTTATATGCTGATTCCTTGGAACAATAAATAATTTTCAAGATGGCTGCATGCCATTCATCAAAACAGTTTTTGTTCTGTGGGATTTGCTACTCTGTGAAGTTGCTGTTTTCTACTTTTTCTTTTGATATGCTTCCTGTTAGATTGACAAAGGTTGATACAGTGGGAGATGTTTATGGTTATTTGGCTGTAACTGTAAGGCTTCCCTTGCAAAGGATACTTCTTTAACTAGTTCACTGTTAGAGAATCTAGCTATTGTTCAATGCCATTTCAGATGTACAGGGCGTTCATAAAGTTCTTGCAAAAGTACTCTAATTTTTTTGTTTCTGAATCAATCTGGCTGAAATTTTTACACAGTATACCTACACTATTCATACATTTGAATCTTGATTTATAGTGAATAGGTCATTGAAGATAAAAAGTTATAATTGCAAGAGTAACCTGAGTCGGGGGTAGGCGGAGCAGCATTGAAAAAAAGAAAAATTTAGATAAAAAATATGGGTTAGGGGTAACTTTAACATACTTTAAAGTATCCTTGAAAATACAAAACAAGCCAATGTTGCCATTTTAACACTAGGTGATGTCATATGATGACATCATAGTTGAAATTTCTTTGATTCATGACATCACTCATGGTATCATAGTGACCTACATTGATTGATGATATCAAACTTTGTGAAAGGCAGCGTCAATTTTATTTTCGTGGAAATGGCTGCAAAATCAGCAAAAGATGATGATTTCCAATTACAAATAATCAGTAGCATTGGGATGTATGTTTTACTGGGAAATTCAAGAAAACAAACACTTGATGATATTCATGAGATTTTTTGGAAGTAAGCTATGGCCAAAAGAACCATTTACAAAATGGACTAAGACATTTACTGATGGTAGAACAAATGGTAAGGACAACGCTAGATCAGGCCGCCCAAGAACAAAATCCAGTGAGGATCAGATGACGTTGATGAAAGCCATCCATACAAAGATCAATCGCAATCTGATTCCCCCATCTATTTGAGAAATGCTAAGTAAGACAGCAGAGGTGTATAGACCACGATGGACACTATTTTGAACACCTATACTCTTGAGATTATTTAAATTATTTAAATAAATAGGACAAGTTAAAAACATTTTGAACATTCAAACAGAACAGATCCTTTTTTGCCTGCTCCGCCTACCCCTGACTGATATGACGATAGCAACCATAACTTTTTTTCTTCAAGGACCCATTAATTATAACTTAGGATCTCAATGTATGAATAGTGTAGGTATACTGAGTGAAGATTTCAGCCAGATGGACTGAGATGCAAAAATTTTAAAGGACTTTTGCAAGAACTTTATGAACGCCCTGTATATACCTCTGGCCCCAACTCTATTCTGGTTTTCCAAACCTGGCCTTATATGATATTAGCTCATTTTGAAAAAAGAGAAATAGGTGTTGTCATTACAAACTAATTTGCAAACATTGCAATATGATAGTTGTTCTAATCTGATTCCTCTTATATTAGTACCTACTTCAAATGTATACTTCATTGGGAGGTCTAAAAATTTTAATGAACATTAATAGGACTCTAATTAGAATTGTATACACAAGTCTGCAATTTCATTATTTAATGTACTTATGATACATGATTTTGACATACACTCAGTTTCATAACTGGTGTGTTCAAGTTTTTCTGTAACATGGATATTTTGTCAGATGGATACCCTTTCTTGTCAAAACCCTGCTACCTATTAAATGGCAGCATTAATGATTTGGTCCATAACTTAATTGTTTTGTTGGGCTTTCATAATACATATTTGTGCTTTAGATCTATAGATCCTCTGGTTGTTTCTTATCACCCCTTCATATCATGCACATGGGTCTATTTACGAAAAAATTCAAAACTTCATTTTTGTCTGAAATTTCATCTATAAAGCTATATCCAAGAAAAAATGAGCAATATTTTAGGCATTAACCTCATGGTAAGGATAAACTGTTGTGTAGTTATCAAGCTAACACAGTTAATGATGATCAACACAAACATCACAAAGGACTGGTATCAATATGGCGAACTGAATTCAATATTGTTTTTCTCTTAAACCAATTATTCAAAACATTCTGTAAAAACACAGTCCTTTATGTAATATATATTATATATAATTATATAACATTTTTTGTTCTTTAGTGCAATTTGTTTTTATGTCCCCACCACATAGTGTGGGGCCATATTGTTGGCCTAGGCGCGTCCGTCTGTCTGTCCGTCCGTACGTCCGGCAGTTTTCTCCAAAACCGCTACAGATATCACCTTCAAATTTTCAGGGATAACTTATGAGTGCATACAGATGTGGATGAAAAAAAATTAACTTGATGTACTTCCTGTCAGCCATTTTGAAGTCAAATGCTAAAATCCTTGTCTGCAAACTTTAAGAAAAACGGCTTCACAGTTGCTTTTAAAACTTTAACATCTTGTTCAGCTCACTTCATTCTAGATCTGATTAGGTTTTGGACCTGTTAGCTCAGTCATGTCAGCCATTTTGAATGTTTTAAGAAAAGTTAACGCACGATAATACTTTGTATCATATTGAATGGTGTTTTTCAGTTTTCATACTTTAACTTTTTAGTAGCTTTATAAATAATTTCAGGTGTACTTTGTTGTAAAAGCCTATGTTATTGTTAACAGTAGTCATATGTGATAATTTTGTAAAAAGATTTCAGCAAAAACTCATGATCACTTTTTTATTGTCGGCCATTTTGGATTTTTCCATCCTAAAATCTTGTCTGTAAAGTCTTGTCTACGCGTTTTCAGGTGAACCGTTTGGTAGATAAATTTCAAATTTTAAGGGATGATTCTTAGTATGAGAATCTAGATCTGATTAGTTTTTGGGCATTCTTGGTAAATGTCAAGGCAGCTATTTTGGATTTTCCGTCCTAAAATCTTGTCTGTAAAGTCTTGTCTACGCATTTTCAGGTGAACCGTGTGGTAGATCAATTTCAAATTTTCAGGGATGATTCTCAGTATGAAAATCTAGATAGGATTAGTTTTTTGGCATTCTGGATAAATGTCAAGGCAGCCATTTTGGATTTTCCGTCTTAAAATCTTGCCCGTAAAGTCTTGTCTACGCGTTTTTAGGTGAACCGTTTGGTAGATCAATTTTAAATTTTCAGGGATGATTCTTAGTATGAAAATCTAGAACTGATTAGTTTTTGGGCATTCTGGGTAAATGTCAAGGCAGCCATTTTGGATTTTCTGTCCTAAAATCTCGTCTGTAAAGTCTTGTCTACACATGTGAACTGTTTGGTACATCAATTTCAAATTTTCAGGGATGATTCTTAGTATGAAAATCTAGAACAGATTAGTTTTTTTGCATTCTGGATAAATGTCAAGGCAGCCATTTTGGATTTTCTGTCCTCAAATCTTGTCTGTAAAGTCTTGTTTACTTGTTTTCTGGTTAACTGTGGGACGGATCAATTTCTAATTTTTAGGGGTGGTTCTTAGTATGAAAATCTAGAACTGACTAATTTTTTGGCATTCTTGGTAAATTTTAAGGTTGCCATTTTGGATTTTCCGTCCTCAAATTGTGTCGGTAAAGTCTTGTCTACTCGTTTTTAGGATAACCATTTGACGGGATCACCCATAGGTGGGGACATATTGTACACATTTGTGTTCTTGTTGTTCCTTTGTACCAATTCTTGAGAATGAAATACAATATCTTTCTGAACGTTGTTGAAACAAAATAGCAAATACAATATTTTCCTAGACCTCTCAATATTATATAGTTATACAAAGGAAAGTTTGGTTTATTTAACAAAAAGTATTAAAAAAATTAAAACCAAAACCCCCAAAATAGATAGAAATAAAAGTATTTCATTAACGATATACTTAAACATGTTGTGTATATGTCATTTTGTTCCAATGAGGTAAGGATAGATGTTTCATTTCATTCCGAACATATGATACCAGGAACAAAATAAGTGTCTGATGTGTTCTCTAATATAACATAGAGAAAATATATATATTTTTTCAAATTAAGTTGTTACTTATATTCAAAAGATGATCATTGAATTGGCGATGTGTAAAATTTTTTTGGCCCACCCTGTAATGTAATACTACATTTTAATCTTTACTGCATGCTGTAAACTCCCAATTTTTTATCCAATCTATACATAATGCCTATAGACAAACCCATTTACTTTTAACAAAACCTTTACAAAAGGCCTCATCCCATAGCATCCAACAAAACCATATTTTCAATGTATTATACCATGTAATGGTATATTGTATTAAATGTATGTAATATTACTGCTGAATAAAAAAAAGTACCATTAAAAGTCTAATCTGACATGCTGACAGCGTAATCATTCATTGTTTCCTACACGCCTACCTCATTTCAACTAATCAGCATTTAGTGTGCAATACTTGGATCGACATCTACATGACTCTCTATATCATATCGTCTACCATTTCTCCTCAGGGGATTCCTAAAGCTTGTTCCAACATGTTTTTTCAGCATGGAACATTATCATTTCATAGTCAATTATTCAGCACTTATTGATCAGCAGGTTTTTCTTAAGTGTAAAGTAGAGATGAGCAACTTGTTAGGTCAGCCTGACAGATGGGAGATAATCATTCTCTAAGTAATTGTAGTATTTTCCAATCCTTTCAACTATTTAATTACAAATTCAGTTAGAACAATATGATTAGATCTACAAATTCCATCCTTGGCCCAAGAGTAATTCATTGCATTACATGATCTGCTATGAAAGCAGTGAAGGACCGATCTTGAAGGATGGCCCACTTTGCTTAGGAATGCTTTGCTTTAAACTTTGACATATGGGGTTACTTTGGCATGGTGATATTTCAAACATGGGGCTATTTCGCCCATCCTTGGCCCAAGAGTAATTCATTGCATTACATGATCTGCTATGAAAGCATTGAAGAGCTGATCTTGAAGGATGACAAATTCACTCACTTGTCTTTCATTTATTCACTTCACTCATTTTAATGAATACGTCAATGAGGTATTTTATTTTCTCATTTTTATTATCCATGAACTATTGAATATATCCTTACAATGACTACATCAAACCTTTCAGTCAACCTTGTCAGAGTACCTGCCTCATTTCCATATTTAGGAAGATGGTACAGTGCTTCTATTTATTTATAACTTTTTTAAGTTCATCTTTCCAAATTCTATGGTAGATGAAGAATGTTCCTACAAAATAGTCCTAAGTCTTTATGCTAGATACTCATTTCCCCAAGTATAAGTTTCAACTCCCTGTTCATAGAATATTTACATTGTGTGGATTTTCACATTGTAAGCCTTGACTTTCTACTAGAAACAGGTTTCAAGATTAATTGTCTTCCAATACAAACAATATAGGCTTATTATCAAATCAATTACAATACAGTTTTCAATGATATAGAGTATGATAAAATAAAGTAATAACAATTGTTTGAACTCAAGCAGGAGCAAATACAAGACAATAGAGGCATGTAGTATTGTATCCCAGAATTGTTTCCCAACATGATGCAAAACTCAAAAAATTATATCTATTTGGACAAAATGATCAAGTCATTATAAAATATCAATATTTTAACAGTATACAAAAAAGGTTTTCAATCAGGTGCAAAATAATCTTCAGCACCAACCAGGCAAACAGTTGTTGTTAAGTCCCAGTGAGGGAGGGGGCAGTAAGTTATTATATTTACAGTAAAGGCTTCAATGCAGTATGCCATATCTTGTTCACCTGTTACTTTCATAAATACAAGCTGTACATTAGTTCTCCCTGTTCTGCCAAGAATGTTTGTTATATGGAGAGGAGTCTTAGTGTCTGCTCATAACAAGGTGAACCATTGACCATATTTTTTGTTTGTTAACAACGGTGTCCATATTGTTTTTTCTCTGGTCAAAGCTCTAAATATTTTTGATATATTTTCTGACCAACCCTGTATCAGAAAGGAAGAACTTCAAGACAGGATTTTTTCTCTTACCCTATACTGGCGGATCCAGACTAAAGCTAACAAATCTGAAAAATGGAAAAAGAATTTGGGCTCCTAAAATTAAGGCCCATTTTTGATAATATGGCTAAAAAGGCCTACAAAAGCCAAGTAATGGCCAAAAAGGCCCAATTATTGAGGCCCCTTAAAAACGTTGGACCAAAATATTTTTTCTGTGCCTACCCAAGGGGGGTAAGGGGGGGGAGGGGTTCCAGTGCCCTAAGTTCAAACTGTTTGCCAGTATTCACTATTCAGCTAGCTCTAGCGTATTTCTCTTTAAGTGGCTAGGTCCTCCAAAATCTAATGGCTGGCCCCTTTAGTAAGGCAATGATAAGATAGTTATTCTGGAAATGCAGTATCGCCAGTTTTGTTTATTGGTTATGATGTCCAGTAATATCGGTAGCTATAATAGGAATTTATGCTGCTTTGAACATGGCATTGCTATAAACTATTTGTCCAGAATGGTAAGAGAAAGAAAGCAAACCTAGTTGAAATGCTGCAGTGAATTGAATAAGACATTGTTACGCATGTTACAAGTAGAGAATAAGACATTAATTGAATTGACCCAAAAGAAAATAGAAAAGAATGTAAAGAAGGATTTAGAGAATGTGCCTGGGCTGAATGCCAAAAGATGTCCATGTGTTCAGACATGGGCTTTATATTGAATGTCCATGGTTCAGAGTATAACTTAACTTTCATATTTCATAAATATATGCCCTATGGGTATAGAAGCTCTGCATGAAAGTGAATTCGAAATTGGTTCCTGGTTCAAATTGGTCCCTGCTTTCATAATAATTACCAATCTCTTGACTTAAACTGCTTGTAAAAACAAAAATGATGGTTTTAATTACCCTCTTGATAGTCTACATTAAGCTAAGATAATCTGCAAAGAGACCAAATCACAAAACATTGTTATCTCTCATATCATTCTCCACTATGTTAATACCTGCCAGCAGCTGAACCAAATTACCTTTTATCTTCATGACCCTTCTTTAAGTATCTATATAGTGAAATTCTAAATTATTTTTAACATCTTAAATATATCCCATATATACCAATTCAAGCAACATTTTACAGATACCAATCTTCATATTAGTAGAATATAGCAATAGGACAATTTTGTGATTTCTGATTCATTACATATCACCCTTATGTATCTTTCATATGGTGTCACATTTATTTATTAATATATATCAAGTACACTCCCCTCCATAAGTTTGGCAACCTTTTTTCCCCCATTGAACTACGTGTTAAAGCCTCTTTACCTTTGAATTTTTATTTACCTAACCTGCCATGGAAATACTTATACTATTGATGGAAACGTAATTTGACTTTAATTCCAATACCTCCAAATTTTCTCAATTTTTTTCCTCAATTACAATAGGTCGAAAATTGATGATAAACACTTAGTGTTCAAAAAAGTAAGACAATTCAATTTTCTATATAAAAATATTTTTTGCTGAACCTTTTACTGAAAAGATATCCTGATTTCTGATTTGCCCCGAACCCTCCATTTCCCATTGGATTACATGGGAATGACGATTTTCAAAAATTCATCAAATCTATCATCAATTTTCGACCTATTGTAATTAAGGAAAAAAATTGAGAAAATTTGGAGGTATTGGAAATAAAGTCAAGTTACGTTTCCATCAATATTATAAGTTATTTCATCGCCGGTGAAGTAAATAAAAATTCAAACGTAAAGAGGCTTTAACACGTAGTTCAATGGGGAAAAAAGGTTGCCAAACTTATGGAGGGGAGTGTAAATATTGAAAATAGTGTTATTGTAAAATGGTCATCAAACACACCTGATAACAATTTAACATAGGAAAGCCTTAGATTAAAAGATTATGTATGTTTATATTCCATAGATACTAGGATTTAGAGGGATATACATATAATAGAGAAAACCTTTAATAGGGAAAAATGTATTGAATCATATTCACTGGGAAAATGTATATCATATTCTTCATCGGGAGAAAATTAATGAGAACATTTTCACTAAGAAAATTTGATTTTATTATTTCTCTACACCAGGTACTACATATACATACCCATTCTCTGATTGGTCTATAAATAGAGGTTATTTAATGGGAGGGATGGGATATGAATTTTATTCTGAGGGAAAATATGATATAGGCCAAGGAAAATACTATATTGACCGAGGGCAATAGTTTCGATATGATATTTTCTGAGGCCAATAGCAAATTTTCTCGAGGAAAAAATCATTGTGACCATCAATTACCTATTTATTCCAGAATATGTTTTCTGAAACTTATTCATTTTCAAGTTTGATTTCCGATCACCCAATGATGGTGACAGAAATGATACAATTTGATTTATCATATAACATTTTCAACTTTTATGAACAAGTTTTAAGATAGAATAAAAACGTAAAAATCAAAAGAAGTCCTCAGAAATAGTTCAGATACGGGATCTGATATGGGAATTTGGCTGATATGGAATTTGATGCAGGATTTTCTGAATATCAATTCTATTCCCTGATGAGGGAATGCAACTGTTTTTTTTCCAATGGACAATGTTGATCAGTTGAGTTATGATGAAACATGATGTTCATAATACAAACAACCATTGTCTTTTCCCAATAAGATATGAGAAACTGAAGCAAGTTTCCAATGGACAATGTTGATCAGTTGAGTTATGATGAAACATAATGTTCATAATACAAACAACCATTGTCTTTTCCCAATAAGATATGAGAAACTGAAGCAAGTTTCCAATGGACAATGTTGATCAGTTGAGTTATGATGAAACATGATGTTCATAATACAAACAACCATTGTCTTTTCCCAATAAGATATGAGAAACTGAAGCAAGTTTCCAATGGACAATGTTGATCAGTTGAGTTATGATGAAACATGATGTTCATAATACAAACAACCATTGTCTTTTCCCAATAAGATATGAGAAACTGAAGCAAGTTTCCAATGGACAATGTTGATCAGTTGAGTTATGATGAAACATGATGTTCATAATACAAACAACCATTGTCTTTTCCCAATAAGATATGAGAAACTGAAGCAAGTTTCCAATGGACAATGTTGATCAGTTGAGTTATGATGAAACATGATGTTCATAATACAAACAACCATTGTCTTTTCCCAATAAGATATGAGAAACTGAAGCAAGTTTCCAATGGACAATGTTGATCAGTTGAGTTATGATGAAACATGATGTTCATAATACAAACAACCATTGTCTTTTCCCAATAAGATATGAGAAACTGAAGCAAGTTTCCAATGGACAATGTTGATCAGTTGAGTTATGATGAAACATGATGTTCATAATACAAACAACCATTGTCTTTTCCCAATAAGATATGAGAAACTGAAGCAAGTTTCCAATGGACAATGTTGATCAGTTGAGTTATGATGAAACATAATGTTCATAATACAAACAACCATTGTCTTTTCCCAATAAGATATGAGAAACTGAAGCAAGTTTCCAATGGACAATGTTGATCAGTTGAGTTATGATGAAACATAATGTTCATAATACAAAAAACCATTGTCTTTTCCCAATAAGATATGAGAAACTGAAGCAAGTTTCCAATGGACAATGTTGATCAGTTGAGTTATGATGAAACATGATGTTCATAATACAAACAACCATTGTCTTTTCCCAATAAGATATGAGAAACTGAAGCAAGTTAAGATGTCTAGGTCAAGGTACTGTTCTTATTGAATCTTTATTTCAAGTTTTTAGTTAATGAGACAGTTATTTCTCCAATTCCAGGCTATATATCTTATCAAACGAGCCATTTTTCTAAAGCTGCAGTGACTTTATTACCCATTATAGCGAAACAACTAAATAAATAAAATGACAACAATACGACAGCATACCTGGAGTTCCATTGTATTTTGGGATTCACCTTCAAACATTCCTCATGGGTTCATGTATCTATTTTTGTGTTTCTGAGATAACTGTTAGGCTGTCAATAGTTCTGTACCTGGTATCTTTCAACATGCTAAGAGCTGACGTTTAACACATATAGACCGAATGTTAGGTCTCGATCATGTGAAACATCGTCTCTGTCAAGGCTAAGTAATTTTTTATCATCTTCGATATTATCCAACTAATGTAATTGATTCATGATTTAATTGTCTAAATTTTGATTGATTGTTGTTATTGTTGTTTGTTGTTTGGTTTACTGAAGTTTGTTTTTATTGTTTTTTGAGGAGAACATAAATGTTTTGCAACAAGGTCGATTCTTGAAATGGCCACACATTTTGTCAAATACATATACATTGTAGTTGAGGATTCTGTTTACATTTACATATATGTACATTATATTTACATGTGTATATGTATTTTAAAATATTAACTTCTAGAAAATATTTTCAATTTGTTCAATAAGTGCGTAGCATGTGAAGGTGTTGTTTGCCACGATAAGCTGATGGATGGTTGTGTCATTGACCTAAGGGTGTATATGCCTGGTATGTCATGTACAACCTAAATGTCATTTAGGGGACATTTATGAGGAAGTTGGCTAATATACTGTAGCAAGATAGCCTACCTGTGAGGATATAATTTGTTATTTCTAGTTAGCTATGTTATTACAGGTACAAGTCATAAAATGTGTTCTGGTTTTCAAATAAAGGTCCCCGGCAAATTGTACTGCTGATTTCAGACTTACTTTAACTGTGTTTTTTTCATTTCTTAGATTATCTGTTTATTGTATGTCCTGGAAAGAATGTAGTTTATGAACCTTTACATGTTTTGAGAATTTTTGCAATTTTCATCTGAATTTTAGTGAATTATTAGATATGCCCTTTTCTTATTGTGGGATATCAAACACTGATATGAAATGTGGCCGACCCAAAGTAATATAGTATGAAAAAGCCATCTTCCACTTATATCCCCCTCACAATCTGAACAAACCTGGTTTGCACAAATACCCTACTTACTACCTGAACACACTGCACACATTCTCCTCACAACCTGAACACACTGCACACATTCTCCTCACAACCTGAACACAATACACACATTCTCCTAACCTGAACACAATACACACATTCTCCTCATAACCTGAACACAATACACACATTCTCCTCATAGCCTGAACACAATACACACATTCTCCTTACAACCTGAACACAATACACACATTCTCCTCATAGCCTGAACACAATACACACATTCTCCTCACAACCTGAACACCATACACACATTCTCCTCACAACCAGAACACACTGCACAAATCCCCTCACAACCTGAGCACACAACACATATTCTCCTTACAACCTGAACACACTGTACACATTCTCCTCATAACCTGAGCACACGACACACATTCTCCTCACAACCAGAACACACTGCACATATCCCCCTCACAACCTGAGCACACGACACACATTCTCCTTACAACCTGAACACACTGCACACATTCTCCTCACAACCTGAACACACTGCACACATTCTCCTCACAACCTGAACACACTGCACACATTCCCTTTACAACCTGAACACACTGCACACATTGACCTCACAACCTGAACACACTACACACATTCTCCTCACAACCTGAACACAATACACACATTCTCCTCATAACCTGAACACAATACACACATTCTCCTCACAACCTGAACACAATACACACATTCTCCTCTCAACCAGAACACACTGCACATATCCCCCTCACAACCTGAACACACGACACACATTCTCCTTACAACCTGAACATACTGCACACATTCTCCTCACAACCTGAGCACACGACACACATTCTCCTTACAACCTGGACACACTGCACACATTCTCCTCACAACCTGAACACACTGCACACATTCTCCTCACAACCAGAACACACAGCACATCACTTTTACAACCTGGATACACTGCACACATTAAATCCCTCTTAATCTGAACTCACTGCACACATTTTCCTCACAACCTGAACACACTGCACATATTCCCTCTCATAACCTGAACACACAGCACACATTCCCCTTACAACCTGAACACACAGCACACATTCCCCTTACAACCTGGACACACTGCACACATTCTCCTCACAACCTGAACACAATACACACATTTCCTCACAACCTGAACACACTGTACACATTCCCCTTACAACCTGAACACACAGCACACATTCCCCTTACAACCTGGACACACTGCACACATTCTCCTCACAACCTGAACACAATACACACATTTCCTCACAACCTGAACACACTGTACACATTCCCCTTACAACCTGAACACCCTGCACAAATTCCCCTTGCAACTTGAACAAACCTTACTTTCTATCCAAATACACCACGCCCTCACAACCTGAACACAAGATATATTAGATGTTTTAAAGGACTGCATTCATGGAAAATTTTCATTGAAAATGAATCCACTTTGCATTGCACTTTAAAGGCACTTACCTTAAGTCATGACCATATCAGGTTACCGTCTCTAAGCACTCTCCAACATTTTAACAGAGAAAGGTTTTATGTCAGTTACGGCATGTTTCCATCATTAAATTACTTAGCGAAAGTCAATTTCACTTGAATTCAATATTTTCTGATTTCTGTATACTGACTTCAGCAAACAGATGTTAATTTAGTGAGCTATGTATTGTGGCATGCCTGCTGAATTATGATTAGGATTAGTCTCATGTGCTTCTAGGTAATAACATTGTATATTGTCTTGGCTCATGTGCTCATTATTCTACAGGAAGCTGAAATATTAAAAAAACATTTATCTCCACATGGCGGGCTTCATCTCTAATTTTCTTCATCAACGCATGCTGCTCATTTAACCATGAATTGATTTGTTAGCCTCTGATGCGCGATGATTTCTTCTATTGACTGCTTGCATTATATCCTGTTGACTTACTTTATTTCTATAATCTATCATTAAATAGGATGTTTTCTAGATTGAATATACATGTATATCTGAAGATTGAAGAAGATGCTTATGAATTGGTATTCTTCTCGCTGTTAAAATCTGTTCAGAACATGTTTGTTATTATTTATGTATCATGTGTGAGTTGCGATTTAGTGTTTGCCAGTGCTTATGTTTCTTGCAGGTTCCTTCTCAAATTTTTTGCTCAATTTCATGAAATTGTTTGTTTATGTCCTTGTTTGTTGATTACCTTCTTGGTATGTTACATGGATCTATAATGATAAGAAATATGTCAGGACTGGTGTTTTTCTTAAACATAGTACTCTTAGTCAACACATTTTTTCGCCAATTGGTTCATCTAAAAATTCCCAGGCTGTATGTTTATTTGGTCATTAACATTTTGTTGTGTGGTTAACCTTGTTGAGATCATGCTATTTTTCCAAATAGTTTGTGGTTTTTAAATTTCTTTGTTTTTTAGGTTATCATAGGTATGTGAGAATTTTTCATGTGAGAAAGCACCCTGTTAATAGTGTTATATACCTGGTTTATGTACATATTATGAATATACTTGTATGTATACACATGAACAGTAAAATCTATGTATGTGGAACACCTTTGGTACTTCTAAAAAGTGTTCCACTTGGGAGGTGTTTCACTTAGAGAGGTTTATTTAAGAATAAGTCAAGAGGCTGCATTTGTTTCGAAAATATTTGCATGTTGACAGGCCTTGACAATAAAAGCATTCTGATATTCTAATTGTTGGAAAATATCGAGATTACATTCTGGGATACGTACCTCCATGGGTGATCAGATTTTAAAACAAGATTGGTTTTGAATATATAAATCTTTTTCTATAATAAAGAGATATAGATGGCAGCAGGGATTTGGTTGGGCCAGATAGTATTGCAGGTATGCAAAATATGAATTCTTTCCGATTAGATGGATACAAAACTCTTTTTGACTAAGATCTTATTGACTCATGGGAGTTTCAAATAAATGGATATAATTCTGTGACTGAAACTCTCGTTGGGTAGCTTAATTGTGATTTAAACCTAACTGAATTTGTAGAACAGTATAATGAAGTAAACCAGGAGGCCAGGCGCTTCATATCTCTGTAGAGAATTAAAAGAGCAGAGTAGGTGGTATTTTAAGGCCAGTTGGCTACCAATGTGTATCACTGATGCACATTGAAGTGTTGTTTATACAACAGTTACCTGATCCCTAATTAGTGGAATGTACATCATCTGTTCAACACACCTGAGAGACCATTATTCAACGCTCTCACTCAAAACAAAGTTCTGAACTATAGTAAGGTTCACTTAGGTCAACTTTCTCTTGCAAAACTCATTGGCATTCAATAGATTCCTCTGTTAAAGTCTAATGCTCTGCTTCTATTTGGTCAGTCTATTGAAAGCCCATGCTATACTCCAAGGCTGAGGCCCGGGTATACAATCATTAATAAAAAATCAGTATTATTCTTATTCAATATAACCACGCATTACCAACTCAGTACACTAGGGGACTTTTTAAACATTTTTAACAGTATTCCTGGGCCTCAGCTCCAAGGTTTTTATTCTTAGTTTTCTGTTCAGTCCTCTGTGGCCCTGTGATGAATGTATATAGTAGTTAAGCAATGGTGTCAATAATAAAGACTAACTGCCTTGGTACTTGATCAATCAGTTGTAGTTTTGCAGCTCATTATTGGCCAATAATGCACAGGTCTCAAAGCAATTTTGTTAAACATTTTTCTTGTTTGTTCCTTTCATTTCTTCAGTTCTCTAATGAATTGAAACATAGTAATTGTATACATAAAAACATGAAGACATCACAATTTACTTCATTTATTCATTTAATTTGTACTAGTTCAATATAATATGATGAGTATGTAAATGAAAGAGATTGCACAGAGGATACTTTCAATGCAACTCTATATGAGGAGCTCACTTGTATGAAAGATAATGAACAGTTTGACTACACTGCCATCTTTTTATGAACATTCTTTCCCTAAGTCCATGAGACTATCATTGTCATAAATGATATTTTTTACAGAGCTAGATAAGAAGTTTTATGGGCCTACTGTTTTATCAGATGATATGAAATATATTAATGTTTGATTGACAGTTGACACTACAAGTGCTCATGGACACACCTATCCCCTGGAATAGTATGTTTGATTGACAGTTGACACTGCAAGTGCTCATGGACACACCTATCCAATCCATCTCAATTTTATATCAATGCTCGTGTCAAACGCATGTACTTCTACACGATGTTGTTCATTTTACTATTCTAATTTAAATCTATCTCTGAGATTTAGATATATTATTATTTCAATGCTATCAGTTTATTTTATTCTATCAATCTTACAATACATGTACACATGAACATTTATATTTTTACAGTACTTTACACTATGGACAATTAAAACTACCACCCATTCCCCTCCCCACCCATTAGTTTTTATTCACACTCAACTTGTGAATTAAAAAAGCAACCTTCATTACATGTCTTTGTCTAGAGACTGATTCACAAGGGGTGAGTTTTTCAAAATTGTAGCAGTCCTTATTTGTTTTAACATATACATGTATTCTATAAATAAACAGTATTGATATGGGATGATTCTCTTTAACATTTCAACATAAGATACAAACCAATGTTTATTTTTTTTATTCTAACATTTAAAGGCATTTCCCTTTGAAATCCTATTATCTTCTAACTGATCTTTTGTTATTCTTTTCTCTTCTTTTTTTATTTCATCATCATCAATATCATTACATGCTCATTTTACATATCACAAATCAATATCAATAATATTACAACATTATAAAGGACAAGTCTCGATTTGGAGAACAGTCTGTTGGGCTAATTTTTTTATGAAAAATATATATAGAAATATCACCCAGATTAAATTAAGAATATTCAAAAGAGGGCATTTAAATCTACAAGATGTAAAAATATCACAATTGTCCGAAGCAGGGATAACGTGCAGTAGTTGATTCAGGGGTAACACTCAATTAGAGTGATGAACTTTGTTCTCCAAACTGAGAATAGTCCTTTCTGTATCTCATTTCATATATCTAACATACATGTATATTCAACTCTGTAACCGTATAAACCACATTTACAACATTTTTCCTATCGTTAACATAATGTTAAATTCAATCTTTCTCTTCAGTTTAAGGAATCGTGTATTTTTGTTATTTCCCTCATTCAAATAAATGCCCAATGGCAAAGTTCAACCAAATTATGTACAATGTACTCGTATATAGCTTCTCATGAGAAAACCTGTTTGTCCGCATTTGACCTGTTGTGTGTCCTTAAGTTGCATATTAGGGAACATAATGCTCCTGATCATACTATATATAATGAATATGATCTCTCCAAGTCTTATTATTGTAACATTGTTTTAAGGAAGGTCCACTTAATGAGAATTTTTATCTAATTTTCATGATTACATGATCAATAACCAATGAAATAGTTCATCTTTTGCACATTTTTATGTGGATGTCTACAAGTTATAGTAGAAAATATGTAGGTCAAAATCAAAATATTTTGATCCAATGAAATTGAAATTACATAACTATATTGACATTATTATATGGATATTCACACATTATAGTTGAATACATATAGGTCAAAATCAAAATATTTTGTTGATATTTACACATCATAATAGAATACATGGCAAAAACCAAAATGAATCTGATCAACGGAATTTGAGGAACATTTCCTCAATTTTTGAAAAATTAGCCAGAGTGTTGGAAGAACTACAAGTGTTATAAGAACTACCACAAGTGTTATAAGAACTGCCACAAGTGTTGTAAGAACTACCATAAGTGTTATAAGAACTACCATAAGTGTTATAAGAACTACCACAAGTGTTGTAAGAACTACCACAAGTGTTATAAGAACTACCACAAGTGTTGTAAGAACTACCACAAGTGTTATAAGAACTACCACAAGTGTTATAAGAACTACCACAAGTGTTGTAAGAACTACCACAAGTGTTATAAGAACGTAATCACAAGTGTTATAAGAACTACCACAAGTGTTATAAGAACTACCACAAGTGTTATAAGAACTACCACAAGTGTTATAAGAACTACCACAAGTGTTATAAGAACTACCACAAGTGTTGTAAGAACTACCACAAGTGTTGTAAGAACTACCACAAGTGTTGTAAGAACTACCACAAGTGTCATAAGAACTACCACAAGTGTTGTAAGAACTGCCACAAGTGTTGTAAGAACTACCACAAGTGTTGTAAGAACTACCACAAGTGTTATAAGAACTACCACAAGTGTTGTAAGAACTACCACAAGTGTTGTAAGAATTACCACAAGTGTTGTAAGAACTACCACAAGTGTTGTAAGAACTACCACAAGTGTTGTAAGAACTACCACAAGTGTTGTAAGAACTACCACAAGTGTTATAAGAACTACCACAAGTGTTATAAGAACTACCACAAGTGTTGTAAGAATTACCACAAGTGTTGTAAGAACTACCACAAGTGTTGTAAGAACTACCACAAGTGTTGTAAGAACTACCACAAGTGTTGTAAGAACTACCACAAGTGTTATAAGAACTACCACAAGTGTTGTAAGAACTGCCACAAGTGTTGTAAGAACTACCACAAGTGTTGTAAGAACTACCACAAGTGTTGTAAGAACTATCACAAGTGTTGTAAGAAC